CTTAGCTGTTCCTTGGTCTCTATGACACTATGTAGTGGGAATGCCTGCTCTGCTTGTGTGTTTTGCCTGGGTTTCCTGGCTGTAAAAACCTGCAAGGTCAGTGAGGTTGCTGAGAGTCAAGGATTGCCTGGACTGCTTCTCAAATGAAGAGGATGGAGGAATGGCAGGAAAAACTGTGGCTTCAACAGTAGCATAAACATGTTGAAAAAACTGTGCAGCTCAGGGCCAGATGCTACCCATCCTTATTAAACCATTGAATACCAGAATGAAGTAATTAAGTGTGCTGCCTGCAAGCACCATTAGCAGGATGTGAGTCACTTGATTTAACCCAAGTTATAATTTGAATGGATGGCACATGCTGAATGGGAGTTTTCCTTTAGCACACTGACAGCAGCAGGGACATACTGCTTTCTATCCATCTAGACTGCCTTCTACTTGCTAATGTCAAAGGAAAAAAATGTTTTAAATCAATGTTTACTGGAGTTCAGATATCAAATAAGTGTTTTGTTTTCGAATGCAATGAAGTTCTGGATCGAGGGGGGTCATTAAATTTTCCCACCTATAAGAAGGCTAGGCTTGATGTTCTGGGGAAGAAAAAGCCCCTAGAAGTCAATAGCAAATTTGCCGTGGTGACTTTCAGAATTGCAGCGTGTATTGTAAGGGACAGATAAGTTCAAAGTTTTGCATCTGGGTCAGAGCAATCTCAAGCACAGGTACAATTGGGTGGAGAATGGCTAGAAAGCAGCCCTTAGGAGCTGAGAGTGTTGGTTGATGAAAGATTCAGCAGGAGCAGGCAGTGTGCACTTGTAGCCCAGAAGGCCAACTGTATCCTGGGTTGCATCAGGAGAAGTGTCACCAGCAGGTCGAGGGACTTGATTCTGCTCATCTATTCTGCTCTTGTGAGACCCCAGCTGGAGAACTGCATTCAGTTCTGGGTCCCCAAAACAATGAGGACATAGAGCTGTTGAAGCAGGTCCAGAAGAGGGCCATGAAGGATGTCAGAGGGCTTGAATACCTCTCTTACAAGGCAAGGCTGAGAGATTGAGGCTGTTCAGCTTGGAGAAGAGAAGGCTCTGGGGAGACCTTATAGCAGCCTTCCAGTACCTAAAAGAGGGCCTACAGGAAAGCTGGTGAGGGACTTTTTATAAGGGCATGTAGTGACAGAATGAGTGGAAATGGTTTTAAACTGGAAGAGGGTAGATTTAGACTAGATATTAGGAATAAATTCTTTACTGTGAGGGTGGTGAGACACTGAAACAGGTTGCCCAGAAAGGTTGTGAATGCTTCCTCTCTGAAAGGCCAGGTTGGATGGGGCTTTGAGCAACCTGGTCTAGAGGGAGATGTCCTTGCCTATAGTGGGGGGATTGGAAATAGATGATCTTAAAGGTCCCAAACAATTTTGTGATTCTATGATTCTATAAAAGGCAATACAGTGAATTTTTTTTTCTTTTTTAATTATCTCAGAGGTAATATTCGGTTGCCTATAGAAGGCAACTCTGTCAGGGCAGCAATTCTATGTAGAATGTATGTAACCCATATGCTGGGTGAACAGTTGAGTGAAAAATAGATGTGAACCCATATCATCCTAGGAATTATAAAAAGATGTAACTGAGTGGAAACTACAAAATTATTCTGTTGATACACATGAAAAGTGAACCCTGCAGTGGTTGTACTACTCATTTAAATTATATAGTACTAATAAGAAAATTATTAAAATGCATTTTTTGTCATTAAAACTGTCAAGTATGTCTGAATGCTAATAGCTACAGGTTTTGTTAACCCCAATATGGCAACTTCTTTTCCAACCTCTGTTAAAAAAAAATCTGTTAAACCAAGAAAAAATTGGCTAGTGATGCTGAGATAAGAGAGGTGATGGCACTGAAAGGCAGCACCATTAAAGTCAACAAAAAAAAACAAAAAAAACCAAACCATGTTAAATAATTAAAATAAAAGCTGTAGCAATTTCAGTATTGTGAGAAAATTTGAGGTCACACTATCTGAAATAGTTAAAATATTAAGTTATATTAAGCCCTGCATAATGATATAATAGTTAAGTGTTCCCAAGGTAATGTAATACAGTGCGAATGGTTAATTCTGTGTGCTCTGTTGTTTGAGGGTGGTAAATGCTGTACGAGGCTTTGAAAACTTTTTCTAGCTGCAGAATTAATAGAAAATAGTAACTCAGGGGGAATAGAAGACTGAATAAAGATGTTTCAGGGTATGTGAATGCAGGGGAAACAGCGGAGAACACAGAGGTCTGCTCCCACCAAATGTAGAAGTAACATTTCTGCAGTACTGCTCTGGGTTTTGTACTTTTGCAACCCTGGAAAAGGTATCGTGTCTTCCATCAGCCACGTAATTAGAAAGGAGTGGGGTTGGATGTATGTAAATGAGAGTCAATGCTCAATGAAGAAGTAGGTTTAGTTTGTCATAGAGGCACAGCTTAGATGGTCATGTTGCTGACTTTGTTTCATGTTTGTTCCCATGGTAGTAGAAGCACCAAGCCAGAGGGAAGGACTAGGATTAAGGAATTTTTTGCCAGTTGCCTTTCTTTTCTTTTTCTTTGATGGGATGCAGTTTAAAGTTTTTTCCCCTTTTCATTCCTTTCATAAAAGTTGTTTTGATGCAAAAAGTAGTCAACATACTTAGCTGTAGAAGAGGTTAATGCAAAATATCCTGGGTTTCTCTTAAATGTGAAGGAGGTGCAGAATCAGCTTCTTTTCAGAAACAGAGGAATGCTTTGGTCCAGGAACAAATGTACCTGAGAGGGGATTTGTTTTCAAGGAGAGCAATGCCAAACCTTATCCTCCTTGTTCAGGTAGGTCCCAGCTGGCAGTTTGTTAGCATCTTGGAAGCCATTATTCTAGTGGAGCATTGCATATCAATTTCCCTGGGCTGTACTGTTGTCTAGTTCTTCTAGCAGATTTGAAACTGCTGTGACTGTTAGGGAGTTGCTAAATCTAGCAGCCTGGCAAGGCAGAGGCTGATGTGGCTCCATGCCCCAGTCCCAACCAGTAGCAAGGCCAAATATGTGTTCCAAGTAGGCACACAGACATGCGGGTATACATATGTGCCACATACATCTACACGGATAGTTACACATATTAGCACAGACAGGCATGCTCACACAAGCAGCACCTTTATCTCACCTCTGGTTGATCAGAATGAAGGTCTAGTTGACAGGAGAAAAAAAAAGTATGTATATGTATATATACACACATGCCCACAATTTGGGTCCCTGCCATAGCTGGGCTTAGACAATCTGCCCAGTAGTTGGCACTGAATATTGATCTTCCCAGTATCTGGGCATTCAAGCCTTGCTCCAGCTGCTGATACAGAGACCTCTGTGCACACGTAAGCATGCATACTTGCACCCACTGCAGATCCCACCAGTAAGGTGGCCAGGGAGGCCCAGTCTATTCACTAGGTGGTCCTGCATCCGTAGAGTCATAGAATTGCTCAGGTAGGAAAAGACCTTAAAGATCACCTAGCCCAATCATAACCTAACCATACTACCCTATCTAACAATCCTTCAGTAAATCATCCTCTCAGTTGTGTCTTCCACAGAGAAGAAGAAATGCAACCCACATGCTCCCAACACAAACCCAGGTCTTTTGGTGCGCCTCTAGGCCTCATGGTCTCTCCAGCTGTTGACCTGGCTCTACTGGTGCCTCCAATACCAACTCCTCCAGGTGCTCCTCAACCTCAGGGACAATCTCCCTGGCTCGCAGGGAACTTTTCCCACTGCTGACTTACCAAGTCCTGTTGTTATCAGTGATCACACACTGACACACACGCCAACGCTGTATTTGCACACTCCTGTCTCTCCAGCTGGCACTTAAACGTGAGTCCTCTAATCCATAAGCCTACTCCTATTACTGGTGGGTAGATCTCCAGACACACACATGCATATAGATTAGTCTCTTGCATTTAAAAAAAAACAACAAACAATTAAAGTTGAGTTTAAGAAGAGTACAGGACAGAATGTACTGATCAGGCACAAGGCATGGCGAGACAAATGCTTTGACCAACCTCTTTTTTTTTGCTTGGCCAGCTGCTTTGTCCCCTTAATCACTTGTTCCTTCTTAAATCACCTACATCCATCCCTTTTCCAATCTTTGGTTCCTCCTCTAAACGTTCTGTTGTAAGACTTGCATAATGGTGAAAGATCTAGAGGGCAGGACGTGTGAGGTGTGGTTGAGGTCCCTTGGTGTGCTCAGCCCAGGGGAGCTGAGAGGTGGCCTCGTAGCAGCTGCTTACAGGGAGCAGAAGGGCAGCACTGTGACAGTGACAGGGCCTGAGGGAATGGCATGGAGCTGTGTCAGGGAAGGGGCAGCTGGGGTTAGGGACAGGTTCTGCAACAGAGGGTGGTGGGCATGGAACAGACTGCCCAGGTCAGTGGGCATGGCACCAAGTTGTTGGTGTCCAATCAGCATTTGGACAACATTCTCAGACATAGGGTTTGAGTGTTGATTGATGCTGTGTGGAGCTGGGAGTTGGATGCAGTGATCCTTGTGGGTCCCTTCCAACTTGGGATGTTCTGTGATTCTCTGATAATCCCAGGATGCTCTTCCCCTGTGTCTTTTGATGAGTCCCACTCCCCTGACAGTGATCCCTTGTAGATTCCTGGTGGAGCTGAAGGAAATACAAGTATGACATATCTATATCTACCAGTGCAGCAGTTACATCAGACTATTTCTCAGTTTCGTTCCAGGCAGTGTTTGGCAGCAACCAGCTGGCTGTACAGCATGTGCATGTGGGCCAGCATGTGGGCCACAGGTTGCACCCTGTGCATGAGGGCTGCATGGGCTGTCTATGCACACTGAGTGCAGGAGAAGCCACAGCAAGGGGGTCAAGTGTCCAGTGGGTATTTTGGGCAGTGTGGGAATGAGGAGGAGAGCTGATCTGCAAATTAACCTGGTTATGTTGATGTTCAATTTTTATAAAGCTTGTTTGTGATGCTGTTTTCTTTCTTTCTTTTTTTTTTTTATTATTATCAGATTCCTTTGGGACTCTTGTTCTTCCAATAGTAAGTATTTATTTCCTTTCCTTCAAAGAAAATATTGACTGCCTGGGATTTTTCAGGAGTCATTATTGATGAGATGTGTGAATGTGTTTGCTAACCATTACTCTAAGAACTTTCACATCAAGTACTCCACAGCTTATTGCAAGTAATTACAGAATTTGTGAGCTCACTTCCAGCATCATCACAAGCTATCATAAAGACTGAGCCCAGAACTTTGCTTTATGATTTTTTTTACCAGCTGCTACCTCTATTTCTACACCACTATTTCATTTTGAAGGCTTACTAGAGCTGAAATAATTGTGCAAAGTAATCAAAGAATTGCAGGTGTTGGAAGGGACCTGTAGAGCTCATTGAGTCTAACCCCCCCCTGCTAAATCAGGTTCCCCCCAGTAGCTTGCACAGATAGGTGTCCAGATGGGTCTTAAGCATCTCCAAAGGAGAATCCACAACCTGTCTGGGCAATCCCTTCCAGTGCTCTGTTACTCTCACTAAAGAAGTTCTTCTGCATATTTTTGTGGAACTTCCTATGTTCCAGTTTTTGGCCACTGTTCCTTGTCCTATTACTATGCACCACTGAAAATAGCCTGGCCTCATCCAGTTGCCTTGGGCATTTTAGATATTTATTCACATCGATCGGATCCTCTCTCAGTCTTCTCCAAGCTGAACAGACCCAGGTCTCCCAACCTTTCCTTGAACAGGAGATACTACAGAGTCTTTATCATCTTTGTTGTTCTAATAACTGAGAAATATTAAGGTAAAAGTATTGCTCTTCTTTACACATAGTTTTCTTGATGATTTGTAAATCATACGTTTAGTGGAGGTACACAGTAAACTAACTAGTCAACAAAAATGCATTATACATAATGCAAAAGTGCATAATATTTACTAAGTAGGCATTCTGGATTTCTAATCCTGTATGCTTATCTTAAAACTTTGATCTAAAGAATTAGGTCTTTGAGTCAGGAAAAAAGGTTTTTATCAAATTCTTTATTTTATTTTTTTTTTTTAACATCTGTAAGCCTGAATATCCTTAAAAGCAGTAGGCTTAGGTTTTGATCATAGGTTAAATGTATGTCTTATGAAATACTCAGGAAGTATTTGATAAACGGATAATCAGTAATGATTAGCAGTTCAACATTGTAAAGAATTCTAGGTTAAAATGTATCTATACAAAACATAAATTACGGAACATTAACAATTCAATTAAAAAAAAAAACCAAAAACAAACAAACCAAAAACACAAAAACCCAAACAAGTTAGATTAGCAAGTTCTTTAATATAATTTGTCCAGTCTAAGAGCATCCTTATGTCTTACTAGGCTTCTATAAAATTGAATTCCATAATCACTTCAGTAGTACTATTTCAGTATATTTCAGTATATTTCAGTAGTCTGTTTTCTTCTAGAATATTTCAAGCATACAATAAACAAAATAGGAGACCCTATATCCAGCTCAATCTAAATTTGCTACCCTGCCTTACTACTGCTTGAATGAAACAATGCCTTCCTTGAGCACCCTTTACACATTTCTCGAACATTCAGGGCGTGTTGTAGGGATGGGAAGGGAGTGGTAGGACACTGTTTGGATGTAACATGTCAGGTTAGAAGAACTGACTCATATTTTTAAGAGATTTTTTTTTGTTGTTCATGTAGCTATGGTAGACTTCTGTACTGCCCAAAGTATACTTGGCTGGTAGCACAAAATGGGCAATGGTTTCTCTTGTCATGTTTTCCAGAGGAGACAAGAGCTTCCTTGTCTGAGGTGCTCGTGAGGGTGGCTGATGTGGTTAGGAGAAGGGCTTGAAATGGCCATTGTCTCTCTTATGTTAGGGGTGCCAAAACAAGAATAGTAATACCATATAGTTGGGGAGTGTATCAACTAAGATAAACTCTATTTTGCAGTAAGTTTCTGGTAGGTACTGTTTAAAAAATGCATAATTCATACATGGGTTGAGAAATGTTCTTTGGAGATGAAATTGATGGGGCTGAGGCAAATGGTTACCATTATTTTAGCAGTGAATTTCCAGAAACATTGTATTAATTCAGTTTCCATTAGCATGGCTACGTGCAACAAAATTTGGGTTACTTTACACCTCAGATATCCCAATACACTACAGAACGATGCAAACTTCTGTTGTCTTTGGATTTTACATCCGCAAAGGTACAATAGGCAGCTTTGTCACCACGTTATGATATAAAAAGTATCAAGACATAAAAATCAGGGCAAAATCCCATGTAGCTTTACTCATGATAGAAAAGGGCTACAGAAAAAGGTCTGTAAACGATGATTGCAGACTTTTAAAGAAGTGTTTTAAAATAACATTGTAATAAACGATAGTATTCTTAAATGAATTAATTGTGAGGCTATATTTGACAGATGTAGTAACTAAGGCTGTTCCTCCTGTCTAATATATTCCAGAATACTTGGCGAGAAAGTTTGAGTGTTGAAATATGTGAATCATATGTTCTTGGCAATGAGTATACAGTGACCTGTAGTTGAAGGAAATGCAGAGTCAATTTCAGTCTAGTGTTTTGCACCTAGAATTTGGTTATATAAGTCCAGCTTTTAAATGGTACTGTTTCTCCTGTGTCATCATATGCCTGTTTGTGGGTGGAAAAAGAAAGCCTATTTATTTTTCCTCTCAATGGTTTTTCCTTTTAACTTGTTTTTCAAAACAAACTCAACAGAGAGGGATGAAACTGTAGTTAATTCCTGTTTATAGGTAAGCAGACGGAGAAGGAAATGTATTTGATAGAGACATTTGCATTCGTGGTACTTGTCACTGTTGTATTCTTCCTCATTTGGGAAAAAAATCCATTACTTCACTGTATGTTCTTAAAATGAGTTTTGACAGCAAGGCAGTGTTTCATTATAGAGCTTGGTAGGATAATTTTGAAGTGCTGTGCCTGGTGAGTTAACAGATGTAATTTTCATTACCAGTGCGAGAAGAGAGCTTAATTTCCATATGTTATGCTGAAAAATGTTAGCCTGTGTGTTTTAGTTGTCCTGACTTCAGAGGCTTTACTCCAGATTTACTGTTCTAACTACAAACAGAAGCATGTGACTCCTAAGCTTTTTAGCAGCACTACTTGCTGGAACCAGCTGCGTGCTTTGTTAAACCCTTTCCATCTTCAAAGAAAGAGTTCCAAGCAGATGGCAGGACAGAAGTTTGCATCTGGGCTGGAATGCACCTAGGGTCATTCCTTGTCTGTGCAGGCTCTGCTCAAGGTGACATCTCCATGTCCTGCAGCTGTTCCGCTTAGAGCCTTTAGAACTCCTGTAGCTGAGGTTTCACCATCTAAGGAAATGAACTGGTCTATCTAAATTGTGAGCTCTAGATTTTCTCTACTCACTGGAGGAATACACCTGTGTGTGGTTATTATTGCCTTATGTGGTCCAACCTTCCTTGCTAGCAGTGTCTGTCTGTGTTTGCTGCCAGCACTGAAGGAGCTTTCAGAGTCTGTCCTTAACAAGGCATCTCAGCTAACTGTATAAAGTCTCTCTACATTTGCTCTTCATACTTTGGGAAGAATACTTATCTTACTGGTTGAACTGCAGTGCTTACTGCAATTATGAATCATTAAAAGCACTGAAATGAGAAAAAAATTAGTCAGTTTCCATTGAAAAGCAATACTCAGCTTCTCGGGAGACTTCTATACTGAATTTAATTTTTCTACTCTAAAAGGTATGGAGCTGAACCTTATAAAGAGATACGGGAGGTTTTCTTTCTCTCCTGCTCATCTTGCCTATATGTATCTTCTTCAGCTCTCATATTTCTGGAAAATAAATTGCTAGAAAATGACAAAGTCTGAAAAAAAAAAAACCCCAAAATCAAATGCAAGAAATTTCTCAGTAACTGTAAAAAGAAAAGAGAGCAGAATGTCCATTAATGGTGTATAAATGCATACCTACTTATGTTATTGAAAATCTGATTACTAGCAAAAATCACTTACAAGTATTTTGGAAGATTGCCTCTGAGAATACATTTCTGTGTAATTGTTAAAGTGAGTCCTGAAGTCCTATTTCTCTTTCTAAGTGTTTACGTAAGTTGACAGGGCAGAAACATTAATGGCAAGTGTTTTATGGAATAATTTTCACACAGAGGGTGGTGATGCACTGGAACAGGTTGCCCAAGGAGGTTGTGGATGCCCCATCCCTGGAGGCATTCAAAGCCAGGCTGGATGTGGCTCTGGGCAGCCTGGTCTGCTGGTTGGTGACCCTGTACGGAGCAGGGGAGTTGAAACTAGATGATCATTGTGGTCCTTTTCAACCCAGGCCATTCTGTGATTCTTCAGTTATATCTTGGATAATTAACAGTGATGCACTGTTCTCTTTTCAGTTGCCATTGGAAAGTGCTTCTGGGACTTATGAATTACTGGTGGAAGGCCATGCTGATGGCCAGCGTGTCTTCTCTAACCGTACCAGCTTGATATACACAGCAAAGAGTATCTCTGTATTCATTCAAACTGATAAATCTACATACAAACCAGGACAGGATGTCATGTTTCGGATTGTCACTGTCTATCCTGATCTCAAACCTTACAAAGCTTCTCTAAATATATATGTACGGGTAAGTATCCACAGGAATCTTGTTACACATTGGAATTTTTCGTATATTCCAACTTTACATGCCAAACACAGGTGATATATATTGATGCCTAAATCTTGCTAGCAAAGCCACTTGCATTTAACATGGACCCTGACTTTTTTTTTTTCCTAGGACCCTCGGAAGAAGTTGATTCAGCAGTGGTTGCTGGAGGAGGGTGATTTAGGTGTAGTTTCAAAAAAATTTCAGTTATCAAAGAATCCTCCACTAGGAGACTGGTCCATAGATGTGGAAGTAAATGTGAGTATTAGCAATGTCAGCTTACAGTGAAATTTCATTTCTTCTGATAGATGTCCTGATAGATGTGAATAAAATAGTGTTTGCTTTGCTAAAGTAGGGCCAGAAATAAATATGGATCATGAGGAGAAATCAAACATATGCAAACCACACAAGTTTTTTAGTAGTGAATGGTTTTGTAAATAAATACATTAAGAAAAAATATATTAAAAAAAAATAGAAGCAAGCATGCTTATTTTATCCTAAGGACTGCATTTTGATTCTAAAATGTGTTATTTGAAAGTGTATTGAAGAAAGAACATAGGGAATACTATTTTTTAAAGTGAAACATCCTTACCTTTATTTTGAAAGCTAATACACAGAAACTCACTATTCTCTGGTGTGCAGCCAGTCAGTGTCTCAAGGGTGTGGCATCCAATACTGCCATTTATATATGCCTGTTCAGTCTTAGTGGTGTTTCAGCAATTGATAGTGACTCAATTCTTACTGAGGAAATAAAAACTATACAAAATAGTAATAATGAATACTGAAGCAGAACTATTTCATAATAAAGCTGGTAGAATTTATTTGGCATGTTGCTTTGGTAACAGTCCTATCAGTCCAAATCCTTTAAGATTCTCATACACTGGTAGATGCATTGTCGAAATAGCTGGAGGCTTAGTTGTTCAAGACTGTGTGTGTCAAGTTTATTCAGACTGCTCTACATCCCCATAGTATGGAAACTGCATTTCCGAATTGGCTTGCATTGACTGTTCAGAGACATTTAGCAAGTACAAACAGAACTGTGTAACGTTTCCTAATAACATGAGGCTGAAGCAGAAAACCTCATTTAGTTATGTATAACTTCAGAATGATATCTGCCAGTAGAAGTAATATCTTCATAGATTTTCTATAGGGTAAGATAGATGAGATGTTCAACTGATGATCAAGACTGGTTTCTTCCAACATATTTTCATGTGGGTGTGGGTTCATTACTAGTGTCCTCGTTGGGAAAAATGCTTTAAATTGTTCTTAGGCTTGGCTGCTCCTTCCCATCCCTGTGCTGCTGCTTAGCATCTTCTTAGTAGTGCTGGGGCATCTGTAATGAGGCTGAGATTTAAAGTGCATCAGGGAATTTGAAAAGTTTGAAGATTAAGGCACTATTTTATTTTGTTTGACCTAGTTCAGTTCCCTGATCTGGTTCTCAGCACAGCACCACTCACAAATGCACAGGCACTTTTTAGGATGGGGGGAAGCATGGCTCAGACAAAGGAAAAGTCTTGAAATGGGGCTAGGCTTCTTCAACAGCTCTGCTAGAGGAAAAAACATTAGTGTGAAGTTGTGATAGGATTTTCTGCTAAGTCATGAATAATCCTGAAGTCAGGAAACACTGCTGAAGGAAAGACAGCAGCTGTTCTCAGGATCTGAATGTAAATGGCATTCTCTCTTGAAATAACTAAATAAATAAGGGGAAAAAATTGTGAAATTGAAAGAAAAATGCCACAGATTCATCTAGGCTAGTGAAGTAGCTGAGAAAACAGTCTATAGTCAAGTAAAATTTCAGTAGATGATAGGAAATTATACTTCAAATTTTAACTGTGCAATATGTACTGCATACATGTCATTAAGCCATGAAAACAAGTCTCTCAAGTCGTGAGTAGCAAGAAGGAGAAGATAAATACGGAACATTTTGTTCACTGTCTCTTCTGAAACTTAGCTAGAGGGCAATTTCAAATCAATTAAAATGGAACAGGTAAACCATAGAGCTCATCACAAGCATTTGTTGTGAAATTCGCAATGGTTCAAAGGCAATGGCTGGGCAAATTCACAGACGTAAAGGCTGTTAAGAATTGTAAACTAAAAACTCTGACCCCTTGTTCAGGAGGTTCCTCAGTCTCAAGCTGTCAGAAAGTTGACTGCTGCCAAAAGTTGTACACTGGCCTGGATTCATGTTAGATCTGTGAGTTGTCTTTGTTCTTTTTCACCCAACACCCAATTTTCCTGATTATTAATTTGTAAATCTTAGTGTTCTAGCATTGAGTATAGCCTTGAATGCCAGGTTTGGGATCCTTTAAATAGAGTTCCAAATGCTTCAGTGACATGAAGGATATCCAGAGTCAGAAATAATGCCCTTCTAATTCATCATTGTTTCAGGAGACAATTCAAGGTGAAAAGCACTGCAAAATGCTTTTCCTGCATTTAACAAAATACTCTCTTAGGAAAAGATAAACTTGATCAGAACAGAAACAGGATTATTTTGTTTTTACTGATGAAGGATACAGTTCATACTTAAGAAAGACAACGTTTAATAAGTGGGGAAAAAAAAAAGAGGGTAATAGATAGATACCATTCCAATGAGAAACTCTGAACTCTTGCAGATTTATAGGAAATGTAAGGATTCTGAAGAGAACTTGATGGTTAATAAAAGTATGAAAGAGTTCTTAAAGTTAGCTAGAAACAAAAGAAATTCCAGGAGGAGGCAGAGCCCAGTAGCATGAAGAAACAGTGAATCTGTGGCAGAGATGGGAATATTTAGTATGTATTATGATAGCTCTATGTGATTTAGTGAATTTCACTGTGAGAAGACTTAAGAACACAAGCGGAAGATGAGTATGTCCTTGACAGGAAAGAGTAAGTGAGGTAGGAAGGGAAACCTGTCATATGGCATGAATTCTGAGAAAAATGTCAATTAAGGTGATGTGGGAATCCACATCACAGAATTAAATTCTTTTGGGCTATTTTGGATGTAATAGGTAGGTAGCTTTATTCACGTAGCAGATTTTTGTAAAGGATTTTTTTTATTGTATAAAATTCTAATGAAAAAATGTCAACGCAATATACATGAAGTCTGTCAAGGGAGAGTGGCTTGAGTGTTGGGCAAATAGCAAATGTCAGTCACCAGGGTGTTTCCAGCACAAACCGATGATAGGGTTTGCGAATGGAGATGGGAAAGAAAGCTTATTGCTGGGGACTTGCAGAAGTTCAGTGCTGACTGTACACTGAAGGATAAAATGAATCAGTGGATTTATTGATTACAATCTCTGGATGCCATTACAGGTTTTAAAAAGCTTCTTAATGTATTAGAGGAAGGCATGGTATGAACCAGCTATTAGAAATTGTAACTGGAGAGTTTCTTTTTTGCAGGGAAGTTTGTTTCATCAATAAGGCTATTAATCACCTGAACAAACAAACAAAAAAATGAGATTGAGAGCTTCTCTTTTGCCTGATGTTTTAGCATCAAGAATGATTGCCTTTTTGGTAGATGCACTGAAATCAAGCAGACTGCTGGAGTAGCTGAATTCTAGAGTAACTAAACTTGTGATAAAAGGAGGTCAGGTTAACTGATTTCTTCTGTCCATAAATATATAAAATGAAAATACAAATAGAGGAGAGAAGGAACGGTGTATCTAAGTAAAAATGTAGTAGGCTTTGGGGTCCAGAAAAACCTGGTTATTCATATGATGTTTAAATGGTTGGGGGGGTGGGGGGGGGGGGGGGGGGGGGGTGGGAAACACCACATGTAGAAGTTTGTTTCCTTTCAGATGCCTTTTCCTTCAGAATGTACACCTCTTTGATCTTCAAATTTGGTGTTAAAAGAATATAATGACAAAGCAGTACGCGTTATTTCTGTACGACATAGCATGTATCTGCACAATGTCTTACACTGGATGATAATATCATGCACAGAAGTATATTGTGGAGCTATGCACTATTTTGCTAAGTCTGTCTATTGGGTTGTTTCACACTTATTTTTCTGATAGCATATCATACTGTTTGATTAATGAAAAATGCAAGAAACCTTGCAGAATAAAGGAAAATAAATACTTAACTGACGGGAAATTTCTTTTGGTTCTTAGTCAGAAATGAGCTTATGCTTTGAATGTCAAGATCATATGGGAGGGGATTTGGTTTCAGGTTTATAGCATGTCTATACATAAGTTATAGTGGGTATTGAAGTTCCTGTTTTAGTCAGTGGAGGTTGAGTCAGTGTTCAGTTAAAGCAAATGAGTAGCTCAGATCACTCTGAGTAGGTATTCCTGTGCTGCAGCTGTCATTAAGGGAGGTACAAGTTTTTCTGTATTATATATGAAGTTGCAGATTCACTAAGCCTGTCCTGAGAACAGGGGTCACTATGAACTTGAATTTAATGCTAAGTTGTGCTTAGCGTGTCTGTCCTGCATTTTGATAGGTTTGGCATTTTTGTAGCTATACTTTCTTGTTTGTTTGTAACTGGTACTGTTTGACTGAGTCCACAGTATCCGTAGTATCTTTTGGATCTACTCAGGGCTTTAGGAACATCTTCAGATTGCAAATGGGGTGATCTCTGGGTGACTTAGCTATCCTGATGCCAGGACCTGAGCTTTCTCATTTAGTGTCAGCAGTTCAACATTTCTAGGTTTCTTATCTTGTCTTTAAAGTGCCATAAAATCACTGAATGATACTTCCCTTCCAGTGGTTACAGATCAAGTAACCAAGTGTGCAGAATTTGGATTCTTGGAAGTAGTGCCTCTGAATCCTGTTTTAAATCAGGTTCTGGCTGCTTGCTGCTATTAAACATCCTGTAGTACTTCTAATAAGAGTACAGGTGTTAGTAGAACTCTTCCAAGAAAGCTCAAGACAGTATAATTACAGTCTGGTTCTCAAGTTTCCACCTTGTATTTTAGTTGGATATTTTATATTTCCTGTTATGGAGCCTGCTGCTGAAAGGCTTTTAGTTGCTGAGTTTTAGCAGGAGGTATCTCAGTCTAAAAGTTTTTCTTCTAAGGCATTTTGCAATCTAATTGATGGAAGTTCTTGTTTGGAAATTTTTGACACAGGAATAGTGATGCTTCAGGAGCAATGAAGGCTTTCTAAAATATTTTTGAAGAGTATTCTATTTTTAAAAGTTTCAGAGACAAAACAACTTTCAGTTGGACTGAATGATTTCAAACAGAGCTGGTTCATCACAGCAGAGCAAAAGCTGAACAGTTATTCTTAGATGTCAAGATCTGTAGCATCCATCTCATATGGATCTCTTTTTGGCACTTTTTTTTTTTTTTTTTTTTTTAATCTGTAGATATACTCTGAGCAATGTGCACAGAATGTTATAGATCTCTTGTGGTTTAAGAAATGTTGGTTTCTGGAGAGATCATAAAAACAGAATAAAGCAGCCTAAGTGGAATAAGCATGGTGCTTGTTTTTGTATCTGAATTGAAAAGATTCTCTTTTGGACTGTGTATATAACTAAGCTCTTAAAAGTCACTGCTCCTAGAAACTAATTGAACTGTGTACACTTTAAAATATTTCAATAATATTTACCTGAGAGAAAGCCCTGCCCTGAAGAACTAAAATGGTGCAAAGGGATTGAAATGTTGTTACTTGGCCTATTGCAAACTAGCTTGGCAGGAAAGTGTGCATTAGGGAGAAATCTGGCTTGGCAGTCAAATCACCCAGTTGACCTATTAAGATCTTTTCCTTTCCCTACACTGTCAATTCATGGCTTGCTTTCTGTAATAAAGGTTGTTATTTTAGAGAAGTTGCAGCCAAGAGCTCTCGTCTCTCTTTAATACCTGTTTTCTACTGCTTTCAGTTCCCTTAACAAATAATTATTTTGTTTTAATTCCTAAGGTGAAATAAAAAGTCGTTTTCAAGGAGGTACTTTTTCATCCTACCACCTCGAGCAATGTTCTGCTCATGGTTTGCTTGACAGCAAAGGTGACATATACATGCTTGATAGTGAAAATAGAAAACGTACATCAACCAGATGTGGGATAAATTTGCTGAATGTCATTCTCCTAAAGATACCTGTTCCTAAGATTAATCAATAGTAATCTGATTATGGATTGCATGTAGCATTTTGTACCGTTGTATTTTGGATCATAAGAATTATGATATGCATAAATGTGAAAATAGCAGATTAAGCATGTATATTTTCAAAATGGGAATATAAATATGGCAGTTGCTGTGGTGATCAGTGACTTACTCATAAAACCAGCTCTAATCTGATTTTTCTTTGATGGAAGTTTTTTTGCTAGGAGAAGTTTTAACATTTATACATCAGGAGCTTGGTCTTAGATGCTTAATTTGCTCTTCTTTTTGATGAGGTAAGAGAGATGGGTAACCATTATAGTTGTTTGCAGCCTGAGTCTTGGTCCAGGTGTTTTTCTCACAAGTGTTCTCTGTTCATGCTCTCATCTTCTCCTGCCACACTCATTCCCACCTGACACACCTTGATGAAGTAAAGAAGCCATCTGATGATCAGTCAAACTACAGATTTCACTTACCTCTGAGAGGATAACTAATTCCTACTTAAAAAGTGAAATATCTAAATAACGATATTACTGTGATTTTCAGTGAGGATCTTTGAAGAACCACAGGGCCTAGGGACATCTGGCAGTTTTCTTACATGCCAGTCATGTTTCTGTGCGCTACCTTACAACCAATTGTCCATATCCAATCTCTTTTGCCTCATATTTCAAACCATATTCATGGAAGTTCTCTAGCAAAAATGGTACTTGTAGGAAAATGAAAAACTTCTTGAAAATAAGCAAAGCAAGCAGGCTGCTGAGCTCCACGTTGTCATAACCTCATCGTGCAGTTGAACAGCATCCAGTGATATGAAAAACAGCCACCTCCTAGTGACAGATTGTTGTCTACAATTGTCTTTCCTATTTCTCAGAAGGGTCTTAATCAAAGAAGCAAACAGGCTGTCGAAAGGAGTCTTCCCCTTCCTGTCCTTTGGGATTTGGAAACTCTGTCATTTTCTTAGTTTGTTCTTCTAGTCCAGCTGAGTTCAGATTTTCTTCTTGAAAGTTTTGTTTTTTATTTTTTAAAGAAAAAAAAGGGGAATGTAACTCTTTCATTCTGCTGCTCTTGTGTTGCTTAAGGCTTGAGTTTATTTTTGGCTGCTTTTCCTTTGTGACCTGGAGCCCTGTCGGAGAAGGAGGAAGCTCTCATGTTGAGATGTCCCATTTGAGCACAGAAGCTCCTCCAAATGTCCCATCTGAGCACAGGAGCACTGCTGGTTGCCAGAATGGCTGTTGCTGTCCCTTCCTCTCATGCATTCAGTGGGGGGGCTAGGGAGGCCATCCATGTTGGCTCCTGCTGAACCAAGCAAAAATGTTTTTGACTGATTCATTTTATTTGTGGCATGGTTCTATTGGATTATTCATTCTATTATAACAATTATTATTTTACTACTATTTATTATTTGTGAGTATTAAAGCCAAACATTTTAAAAATGTGTGTACGCCTAAACCTTATGTTATTCATATTTTTAGATGAAGGCTGACATAAATATTTCAAAAGTAACTTAGTGATATTCTTTCTCCTCAAACAAGACTCTTGAGGAGTGATTCTTGTTGTTTTTGTCTAATAATCTAACTTTATGTCCACATCATGTATTTCTTGACACTGAGAATATCAAATAGTTAGCAAGATATGGACATAAGATGTATTATGCTAGCAATACTTCCAGTCTTTATTTTTGTCATTGATACATTGCTAATCATTATAGAATGTGCTTACATGTCCCATATAGCCTAGTGAGGCACAGTCTGATTGATTAATGATTAAAAAAAAGCCTTGTGAAAGATAATTTGATCATTGCTCCAATGTAATCCTGGTGTTAGGCAGATCAGCTGATATTTAGAGCTCTAGTTCCAGGTAACTCATGCCATTTCCCTGCTGATGGCAGCTTTTTGGCAGGGCACTGTAAAAATGAGAATTACGGGTTATGTGCCAGAGGACAAATGACTTGCATGCTTGCTCAAAATTACTCGCACTCTAACAAGGAAGAATAATTGAGTAAGACAACAGAAGCAAAATGAATGTCTCACTACCCTGACTTTTTGGGTCAACTGTCATTGCACCAGTGAACAAAAATAGCTGCTAATTTCTTAAACTTTTTTTAATATTAAGAGAGCAGGGTAAAAAACTAAACAAAAACAAAGTGTAAAATTAATTTCCTAAGAATATGCTGTGTATGGCCTGAGATACCAAATCTCAATTAATATTCCAGAATAGGCTTTTAGATACTTTGAGAAAAATGAAGAAATGTAAAAACAAACAGAAAAACAGGAAAATAGAAAAAACTTAAGATTCTTTACATTTGCTTATTTCTTCCTTTGATTTTTAACCAATAAATAAAAGTCAGAAAGATATAACTCAAGACATCTCTGCTAAAGTAAGTATGTAACACAGACTATAATTAAATCTTAGGTTTTGGTTTTTTTCTTAAGTGAATGAAAAACCTAAAGATTATATACATGTTTTTGAAGTGGTCTTGTCTTCTAGATACTCTACAGGGGCTTCCACTTGCATAGAGATAAGAGTTAATTCTAAATGAGTTAGCAAAGATACTGCTGGTAGTTCTGTCATCTTTCATCTTAATCACTGTGAATGCTTAATGCTTGATAGTTTTAAGATAGCTGACTCAGATATATCTATATACAGAAACCAGCCATGTGTAGATGTTTGTAGACTAACGGCTCTCTGAGGACTCCATTACACATGTAATGAATCTACTATATGTGAACTCCCTGCATGCTTTTTTGGTGCAAATATCTTCAGCTGGTTCTTGCAGGAACTCTGTAACAGGTGCTGATGGCGGTTGATCTGTAATTTAAAATTACATAATTTCAGCAATTATAATTTAAGCTGAGTATGGGTGGGATTGGGCCTAAAAAATACATTAAACATGCCACTCTAACTGCAGCTGTTTGTACTTATGTTTTTTTTTTTTTTTCAATAGGGTCAAGTACATTATCAAAGTTTTAAAGTGATAGAATATGGTAAGTGTTATTCAAGGATGTTTAGTACTGACCAAAATTAGTTACTGAGTCTCCATTAATTTAGAGTTTAGAGAAACTAACTAATCTTGGCTAACACAAACTTTTTGAATACTCCTAGAAAGTTTAATTTCCACATCTGCTTCCCTGAAACTGGCTGTTCTGGGGAGAAACATCATCTTATCAGCTGCCCTACTTATTTCTGGTAGCTTTAATGACCTACTGCCGTAGTGTTTGAAAGTTGTCTGGTCCCTATTTTCCCAGGAGCTTCCAAGCAATGTGTTCATCACAACAGATCTGTATAATATTTGATCATGACGCTTCCTGATAATTCTGTAAAGGTTAAACAGGCCGAACATTTACTGCTTCCTCTACAAGCTTGCTTTGAGAGAGGAGAAACAAACATATTTTATCCATACAAGGCTGTGCACAGGCTGCTCTTGTGATGCTTGGTGCCACCTTTTGACAAACTATCTCAGATTGAAGCATGCATAGAACTGTGTTAAAAATATCTTACATTATTGTCCTCAGGAAACTGCAATAGTCAGTACCATATTACATATTCAAAATATGTAAATGTTATTTTTATGTGAATTAAATACTTTACATATTTTTTTTATTTTTATTTTTTTTTAGTTTTACCAAAATTTGATGTTACAATAACAACACCATTATACTACTCCTTGAGAGAGAAAGATGTAAGTGGTGTTGTCACTGCAAAGTAAGTAAAACACTGATACTGTTGTCATGCTCTCTGTTAAGATAATTGTCTGTAAATATTAAAGTAAAAACATGCTAAAATGTTAAAAAAAAAAAAGTGTCCTCTGCTGTGCATTAGCTGGCTAGCTTATGTTCCTAGTTACTGGATTTTTGTGTAACAATGTTAGATGGATCTTCAGACTTTTAGTTATACACTTTTGGTTAGGTGTAGGTATTTCTAGACTACAGCCGTGCTATTTTCAACTGACTTATTCATAAAATTTCTTGAATCTTTTGTTTGTATGTAAACTTTGAGACTTTTTTTTTCCGGTTATTATGTCTCTTTCATTATGCTCTCCAAGATATCACATCAAATTCTTTAGATAGAGTGACTATGTTTTACCATACCGACAGGAAAATTATTCAAGCTTCTATTCACATCCTTCTTATACTGATTTACCCATGTTATGGATTTGAACTACAGGCTTCTACTGGCTTACAACATACCTATACCTGTAAATTGATGAAGAATTGAAAACTCTTGAGAAGTTCAAAACAGACTTTACTGTAGATTACTATTCATCATTGTAGACTGCTGTACAAATAATCTCAGATAAAAATGAATTTTATTTTGGGAAGATGAGAGCCAAGTAAAGCTACTTGGTAAACAAGAAGACCTGAAAGTGAAAGTCTTTCTGGAGCTATTTCATTACATTAAAATGCATACCTTCAAAACAGTCAATTCAAAGTGATTGATTAACAGTCTGTTTAAATGTGATGTTTGGACTTCTGAGAAAATGAGAAAAAGCTTCTTTTCCTGGAGGCAATGCAACCCAAAACCCAATACTGTAAACTATGTAGGTTTCTCATTAGGTGTAATTAAAAAAAAAAAAAAAAAGAAAAAAAAGAAAAAGGATTTTTTACTTGTTTTTTTTTCTTCTTCCTATTTCTATTTTGGAGTATATGCCAATATGAATTTGGTTTCCTAATTTGTTTTGGTCTGCCTCAAGATACTTGTCTCCTTTGTTAAGGTATTTGAAAGCATACCTGTCTGCTGCAATAAATCCAGACTTGGGCGCCAGTGAATAGTCTGGGATTGAATCCCAGCAGTGCCAAGGTTCTACTGATATGTCATAATTATTTATAGGGAATGACTTCATTCCTGGTGACTGTTTTTATAGGCAAAATGTCTCTGTATACAAGGACTTTATGTGTCCTTTAAACTTGTAGATGTCATAAATCCTTTTTCCTTTCTCATTGCTGCACTATTGTTAGATTAACTACGGGATGTTATCTAATGACAGTAATATTTCAAGCTTAATAGCAGCTTCTTTCTGTAATTAGATTTAACAGGAAAGACTGCAGCTCAGGTGCAAGACAGCATTGTCAGAAATGTTCCTGTAACTATGCTATTTGATAATCCTTTTGCTCTGCTTTCATGTTTCTGAAGTGACTTCCAGTCATATCCATACTGACCCAAACTACTTAGTTATCACATCTGAATGTATTAATACTGTTGGATTATAATGTTATTTTGTTCCTATTTCCTAATTTTCAAAATCTGACTAAGGTTGGAAATGTTGAGAAAATCTTTGATTTATTACTAATCACTGATTATTGTTTATAAATTAGCTACAACTGCCAATTGTGTTTGCTGTGCAATAATGCCATGATTTGTTTGCTCTGTGATTACTAAATAATATGAATATACAAAAATATCTTGAAATCACTCATTTTGTACATTCAGCGTTTGGGAAGCAGAACTCTTGCACTTCCCACATCCCATTTTAACCCTATTGTGTATTAACTATGGTGCTATATGTTCTGTTCAGTAACTTGCTTCTAGCTTAGTCTAACATAGTTAATTTGCTTAAATTGTCCAGCCTATAGTAACAGACTTGTAATGCTCATGTTCAGGAAAGGGCAGCACTTCCCACTTCTCTGTATATTCTCTAAGTTTTGGGCTTCTGACTTTAATGTCAATAAATCACTGGAAACATCGTGGTTCAAAGTACAAATACATTCTATCTATATTTGAAACTCAGGAAAAAGTATTTCAGTGAACCTTTTTACCTTACTCTTCAGGAGCCTAGGCTCTTGAGATGATGCACTGTTTTGCTTTGCTTGGTGTGTTTCAGGTATACATATGGAAAGCCGGTGAAGGGAAATGTGACAGTCACCTGTCTGTCTGTCTCTTACTGGACAAACAAGAGGAACATAACAAAAACAATGGAGGTGAGTCTTTTGTTAGCAGTTCAGTAGTGTTGTAGACTTTAAAGCTGTATCTGCTTTTGAAGGTTAAATATGCCTGGGACCATCCTCAAGTGCTGTGTTCTGCTGGCGTAGTCTGTGGAGTGACTTGCATGAATAGTGTTTAACTCTATTTTCTCATACAAAGTGGCTACGTTCAGACTGCCTATTGGGGGTGACAGTTGGCCACTGCAATCCCTTGAACTATGCCTGGAGACCAGTAGCTGGCCCAAGTAGAAAAACATTCCTAAAGACCTTCTAGCAGTGTAGGTGACGGAGGGCCAGTGCCCGGGAATGTTCCTTGGCACTGTGCGTGCCATTACACACTCAACTCTGTGTTACAAAGGCATTGCAATTGTCCATGTAGAATTCTAGCATGGTGGTATCAAGAGTTTTCTTACTAATTCTGTAGTAATTGCATTGGAGTTGATGTGCTAGAGATGATCTAGGGCATGACATGTAAAAAAGCCTTCCGTGTTGATTTCAAGACTTACAGGTGGTGAGAAATTGATGTAATCTTTTTCAAAATCAGGTCTTTTAATTTTGAGCTGTGAACAAAATTTCATTTCAGCTAAGTGATGTCTGTCATTTCCTGTTGACTGGCTTGAAGGCTTCAACAGCAATTAATTAATAAATCTTCAGAAACAGAACTGAATTTGGGTAAAATCGATGCTCCTTCAGGCAGCTTCCAATTTGTTGTTTTTTTCTGTAAAGCATAGGCACTAGTGCTCTGGCAGTGTAGAATAGGACAATTTTATATAAAGTAATCCTTTTTTTTTTTTTTTTTTTTTCTTTCCACATTGCAGATAAATGGATCTGTGAATATTACTTGTAACAAGCTCATGTTGCAAAACTTGAATGGGGATCAGTCGTGGCACCATGGTGATGATGATTACACTGAGCCAGTAGAAATCATTGCTGTGGTTACTGAGTCACTTACAGGTATTTTGCTGTTTGAGGTTTTCCAAGAGAAATCCAAGGAGCAGATCATGCTAGAAGAGCTTAGTGCAATGCGGAGTGGCTTGGAAGTGATGGCAAAGTATCATGTACTGAAGGAAATGTGAATCTTTTGCATGCAAATATATTATTTGCACTGTTACTTGCCTAGTTATTAAATAGTTTAAGTAACTGTTAGCTCTGTTGAATGCAGGTCTGCAGTAAGTGATTTATTAAGTAACCAAGGGATTTGTTAAAAAAAAGAAACAGATACCCAAAGCGAGAAGTTTTCTTCTACTGCAATTGAGGTTACCACATTCTACTAAACTTACTGAGGGCTTAAACTCAGTAACAGCTTTTTTTGATGAGAAGAACAGGTGTAAAAATAGCATTAGGTTGCCTTATAAACTTTAGTTTAATCGTAAATGTATTTTATTTATTCGCTTGTAAACATCAGTAGAAAGAGTTCTCTGGCAGTTCCATTAACAAGATTTAATTACAGAATTTCTGTTAGAAGCCCAGTAAGGTGGAAGTTGACAGATTTGGGATTCTTCATTTTGTCATTCTGAAATAGTATTCATAGAGTAGAGCACGTTGTGATATGACTTATTTATTGTCTTGGATAACAGCGCCATATCATCTTTTTACTGATACTTTCCTTATCTTAGGAAGGATGGAGAGCAGTCAGAGTGGAAATGGTGAAAAACATGATAGAATTATCAAAAAATCAAGTAAATTACTGCTAAATGAGTGTGTATATGTCTAAATGAAAGCAATTTTTCAACAGGAATCTCTCAGAATTCAAGTACTATCATATTTCCAAAGCAAAGTGACTATTTCATTGAATTTGTGGACTACTCTAGAGTCATAAAACCTTCTCTGAATTTCATCGCTACTGTAAGTTCTTTTGATTCATTGTGGTTTGTGCATATACAAATGTGACTTTTTTTCCTGTGTTTTTCCTTAGATACCAGAATTTGTCTCAGACTTCTAGGAGTAATTTACAAGTTTATTTTCAAATTATTTTTTCATGATATTTGAAGTTCTACATATCAGGAAGTTCTAAGCTTACAGTTTTTACTCTAGCAAAGGATAAAATGATAGGAAATGCTGTGTTGACAGGATATACTAGAGTTTCAGCATTGTTAAGTAAAACTTTTCAATCTCTAGCTAATGTTTTCCAGTAAGGTGACTGTGTTTTAGTAGTTACTGAGTCCCAACTCTCTTAATACTTGTATAAAAAATGGAATGTATGAATGTGAATATAGTATTTATTTTAAATATGCATATCTAAGACTAACCAGCTGTTAGTCTAAGTAAACTCAAGTACAACTCAAACCACATTGCTCTGAAATGAAAGTGTCTCTTTTTTGCATCCTGTCATGTCTTTTTCATACCACCTATACTCCTCTCAGAAGCCTTTCATATTCTTCATGCTCTCCTGGTCTGTGGTCAGTATTTCTGCATTTAAGAGAGATTGTGTATTGCACCCTTGAAAATTATCTTAAAGGAGTAATAGACTTCATAATTTTTGAAGACAGCCAGAGCCTTTGCTATGTAGAAATACCTAAATACTGTATGTGTAATATATGGTATAACAAAATACCAATAAGATGGACTGATTATGCAGTTTTGGATCGGTGTAGGTCGTATCATTTTGCTAGCTTTACCATTGGGACTTTGGTTTTGGTCCTTTTCGTTTTCTTTGCCTGCAGCTTAGTTTGACTCCAGCTCTGACCTGCTGAAGAGCTGAGAGGGAACTGAGGATTTAGCAATACTGCAGCTGGCAGAGGAGATACCAGCCATGCTCCCAGAGGAGGGGATGAGGGAACAGCAGTAGCTGTTATTGGAGGTGAAGGTCTGTGTGTGCTGTACAGAGAGATAAAAGGAAAATAATGGCAGAGGAGAAGACTGACGCACTTTTGGACTGAAAAAGAAGAGGGAAACATTTGTTCAGTGTTATTAAATGTAGAGGTTGAATTTTTGGAATATAAAATACAGAGCGAGAATGGTTTTACTGTGGATGAGAATCCATAGAAATAAAGGTTGATATAAGTTATAGTGCTGACTGGTGGATATTGGTGTGAAGAATTTAGAGATTGCATCAATTTGAGGCTTGTTTTGAGTCTTTTCATTTATTTCTATGAATCCATACATACATCTCACTAAAAAGGTGATAAAATGAGTATTCAGGCAGCAGGTTAGATATGCTTATTTTGCCTGATAGATAAGCATATGCAGAAGAAGAGCTGTAACTGAGCTGAAAGGTAGATCACCTTTTTCTATTTTACCTGTTCTCTTTAAAAAAAAATAAAAATAAAAATAAAATAAAAATTCTCTATTGGGTAGAATTGTGAATAGTTTTGTTTTTGACTGACTTGCCTACTTGCAGTACTCTAAAGGGAATAATTCTGCTGATATGTGAGAAACCTGGCCTTTTTTTAATAATAATGTTGTATGTAGTTTTATCCTGTTTGATGGACATTTTCTTTCTTTTTGTTTTTAGCTAAAGGTGACACGTTCTGACAGCAACCAGCTGACAACTGAAGAGAGGCAAAATCTTGTCACAGTCACTGCACAACAGTCGGACCTGTTTTTTCACCACTCTTCACTTTCTCACTTTGAGAATGAGGCAACAGAGGAGAGAAATAAGACGATCCATGTCCTGAATTACACAGTCCCACAAAATGGAATTATTGATATTGAGTTTCCAATCCTATCCAATACAAAAACTTTGAGAGTTCAGGTATTGCTCTGTAATATGTTGATTTGAAAGAATGACACACTGAATTGAGAAGGCTGTAATTAGTGGTATGCTGTTTCTGCCATCTGTAACAGCCTATATACCACTTGCTATTGTATTTTTTCTTATCCATATTAGAGCTGGAAGGAAAGTAGCAGATCCTGTGTAAATGTGATCTAAATAAGTGCATCAGATTAGCGATAGGAAAAAAAAAAGAAACAGATACCCAAAGCAAGAAGTTGTCTTCTACTGCAACTAAGGTTACCACGTTCTTAACAGCAACATAGATATTGCTGCTTACAGAGTACACACTTTTTGCTGTTGTGTTAAGAACTTTGTTTTGCATTGTCTTACAGGCAGAGTTCCTCAACAGTAAGACTGACATAGGCGTTTATGATGTGTTCAGCTCTCCCAGTGAAACTTACCTCCAGGTTAAAACAAAGAGCCAAGAAGTGAAGGTACAGTCTGAGACATAACTTGCTAAGACAGGAAAAAAAGTCAAGTTATTCATCATGTTTCCATAATCATCATTATCAATCATATTCTTTTTCTAGGCTGGGAAACCTTTTGAACTAAATATTGAAAGCAACAAGCCAGTAAGAGAGTTCCATTACCTGGTAAGTTGCTATTTCATATATGAACAATCCAAGATGACTTTTATCAACTTGACAGAATCATAGGGCTTGAAAGGGACCTCAAGAAATCGTTAAGTCCAACTCCCCTGCTAGAGCTAATTCCATACAGCAGACTACACAGGAAGGCATTCATATGAGTCATGAGTATCTCTGGAGAAGATGACTCCACAGCCTCTCTGGGCAGCCTGTTCCAGAGCTCTGTCACTGACAGTAAAGAAGTTCTTCCTTGTTTTATTATGCAACTTCCTGTGTTTCACTTTCTGCCTGTTACCCTTGCTCTATTGCTACGGTTATATTATTGTTATATTTTTATGTACTTGCAGAACATATTGTGCTGTGCACTCGTTTTTATAGTTCAGTGTTACCCAGAGTAATACAGGCAGGAGTCAAAGCCAAAAAAAAAAATCTATTTCTAATATTTAAATATTGTAATATCCCTTTATTTCATGCCCAGTCTTGTAGAATTAAACACGAATTATAGCTCTTTGCCTCTTCTCTTAAAAGCCTTTTATTGAAGGAATGACAGAGCTTAGGATGTATTGAGATGTCAACAGATTGAGTATTTAATTTTTCCCTTTCAGGTGTTATCTAAGGAACAAATTATGACTTCTGGCACAATGGTTGAAAAAACATTCAATTTAACAGCAGAAAATTCCTGGGCTCCTCTGGCATGTATACTTGTATTCTATGTTGATGAACATGGAGCAGTTGTAAATGATGCTCTTACAATCCCTGTTCAGCCTGCTTTGGACAACAAGGTAATTATATTGAACATGAGCCTGAGAGCATGTTTTTGTCTGTTGTATGGTAAAGAGTAGTTTAGATCACAAGCTTGTAAATGTAAAACCTTCCTCATTGTGCATCTGATCTGAGGTTTGTGTAAGTCTATGGAACTTTCTGATAATGCCAGGATAATTAGGATCTGGCTTTAAATGTGGGGTTATTCTATATCTGAACATATTCCCCATAAATACACAGATAACATAATAATTATGCTTTTAACAGTATGGCCAAATACTGAGACAAAGATTGCTTGAACAACATAGTAGAAAAATGCTCCTAAGTTCTCTAAGTATGGAATTCTAGAAGTTTGAGGAGTTATTCACCCTAGTCAGGTTCTGAAGCCTGTCAGGGTCACTCTGGATCACATCCCTTCCCTCCTGCTTGTCAGCTTTGTCTCTTCCGCAGAACTCAGTCCTGCTGTCTGTGTCACTGATAAAGATGTTCAACAGTGCTTATACCAAAATGACTTGTGAGGGACACTACTTATTATTGGTCTCCATTTGGACATTGTGTTTGATTGCAAATCTTGGAGTGTGACCATCCAGCCAATTCCTTATTCACCATCCATCTAATCCATTCTGAGAATCTAAACAGAAAACGAATATTATAATTTAGCTAAAACTTGGGAGTTCTAGGGTAGAGACAAGAGGATATTTCTAGTGAGAAAGCATAACAATTTTGTTCATCCTTCTGGAAAAAATGCAAGTTTGGCCACTGATTTCAGTGTAAGATTATAGCATACATTGTGGTGAAGAAGTGAGGCATGATCTTGAAAATACCAGTTCAATTAAATCTAGCTAACAAATGAAAGCCACCATCCTAGTTTGTGTACAGATAGAATGAAAAATTGAGAAGGTAAATTATAAGAATTTAGTATCAACTTCAATGTATTTGCTATGAAGACTACTTTCTCTGTAACCTATAGATATGTCCTAGGACCAGTAGGAGGTCATGTAGGTAACCTATCCACTTCTGGAATGGGAGCTGAGGGCCAGACAGTGTGCTGTAGGGACATCTCAAGTGATTCCAGATGACTTCAGCTGACTGAGTCTGATCTGATAGCTGTACGGGAATTACGCAGCCAAGGATATTCGGTTGCCCAAACTGAGTCTGGTATTAAGGATATTCTGCCTGGACTCCAGAGTTTATTCCAGAAAGGGAAATTCTGCACCACTGCGGATGACTCAGATGACTTTGACCATCTTAGATAACAAAAAGTGACAGTTGTTATATAAGTGAATCCCACCTACTCTCTCTCAGTGCAGTCAGTGGAGCCTATAGAACTTTTTTTCTCCACTGCAATTTGGATTTCTGCTCCATGATGAGCAAAACTGCTATCTAGTCACCACAACTTCCTTTTGACACCTGTCAAGCTTAGACACTAAACAGAAACGCAGACAGCTAAATGTAAGCAACATCAGTATGATGCTAATTGGGTCTCCAGACTTCATAGAAATGTTATTTTGGTGAGAAAAAAGAGTAGCATTGTTCACTGCATTGTTACCTGATGTTGCGTGGATGGGGCACATCAGAACTACCTTACAGTGGATGACCCTTCCTCATTTCACTACCTGTAGGAAGTGCATACTGGTACTGTATTTATCTATTCACTTCCTTTTTCCTTACCTATGCACCCACTATATAAATCCCTTTTTCTGTGTTGATCTCACTGTGGCATACTTCATTAAAATCTTTCAAGGATGAAGTTTCTCCCAAAAATGTATTTCCCAAAATACATTACATGCTGTGCTGCACATTGATAGAGAGAGTGAATTTCATTTACTGCCCTTAGCTGTAGAAACCAGTGTATTGTGGTTTAAGAGACTGCTACTTCAAATCCAGGGGTTGTTTGATTGTTTGAAGTAACTATACTCAGTCCAAGGATCAGCTGGGAGAGCAAGAGCAAAAGGAAGGCCATAGTATTTTCCCCAAAGTCTAGGAAATGCAGTCTTAATAGAGACTAAGAAAATCTCAGAGTTGCTGACTGACTACAAATATCAATGTATAATTTAAACTAGTGTCTTTTTTTATAATTTACTTTAACTTTTTTTCTAGATTAAGATTTCTTGGAGCAAAGATAAAGTCAAACCGTCTGAGAAAGTGTCCCTTAAGATCAGTACAACAGATCCAGAATCAGTAGTTGGACTTGCAGTTGTTGATAAAAGTACAAAGCTTCTAGGAGACAGTAGTGACATAACTGAAGATTCTGTAAGTATACAGGGAAAAAAAGATTTTCTTTATTGTTTGTATGAAATATGTGTATTTACATAGATATTACAGCTTATAAGCTGAATGAGTAATGTTCTTTGGGCATAATGTTCTTAGCTGTGCAGATTTTTTTTTATATCAGCAAGTAGCTTATCTACTTTAGCAGAAAAGACTCTAAAGCTTACAAGGCAACAGTCCCAGCACTTCTGATTCCAATTAATACTGTATTGTTTTTCTATTCAATAAACTCTCTGTTAATGCCTGGCTGTTTCTTCTTTCGGAAAAGACAAAAATCACTGAAACTTTTTGATTCATGCTCTTTAATATCAATTATGTAAAATAATACAAAGAATTCTATTTTTAAGGGGTGAAATGCTGTAATTAATCATCTTTTTGAAATCTCTTTTCTTGCAGAAGCTCTGGTGCACCAACAGTTTGAAAGAGCTGACAATATGCATTGTTCCTAAAGCAACCAAATGACAAAGTAGCCTAAGTGCCATGGAATAATAGTGGGCTGTAGACTCCTGTTTTAGGTTTATGTAGTCTTAGTACTCATCTGTTAATTACGAAATTATTGCAATCTAATCCCATTCATCTTGTCATTGATTCTTTTCTCCTTTATGTGAGAGCTAACAGAGCTGCTGCTGCTTGCCCTACAAATGAGCATCTGTTAACAGTGACAGTCCTGGGAAAAAGAAAGTATTTGCATTTACTTTTTGGGTGATATTATGGTGGTTTTCTTTTTTTTTGTCCTAGGTATTTCATGAACTCAATTTATATAATACAGCACAGTATTTCCCCCTTGTCAGAGGTTCCTTTGGTGTCTTTCAGGTATGTTTAAAATAAGAAACTCTGATCTTTTTTTTGGGGGGGGGGGGGGGGGGTGGGTGGGCATGGCGGGGCTCAACTTTGTGGTTTGTGTATGGCTTACTAAAATAAAAGGTTATTAACGTTCCTTTTAAAGCTTGGGGCTGTAGACAACAGTCTACAGTTTTCATTGTTTATATGGGTTTTGAATTGTAATTTAGCAGCATGTAAATAATCTGGATACAATTATATATGTTTATATTTTCATAAGTATGGCTTGTGTTATAGTGTCATCCCTTTTAAAATTTTTCTGTCATTTTGGCAATATTCAGATTCCAATAGCTGTGACATCTATTGGTTCCTGTGTATTACTTGTAGGTCTATAATTACTCTAGAATTATGACTTTATTTTCTTAAAAAGAAAGACAAGAAAAAAAAATAAAATAGATGAGCACTGTTGATGTCCTGAATGTCCTGTATTGAGATAAACTGTATAAATTTTATCCAGAAATGCAGCCTTTGGGTATCAACTGATGCAATTCTTGAGGAGGATAAAGAACATTTTCTTTGTAAGTAATAAAAATAAATGAAGCCAAATCTAATTTACTGAGTGGGGAAGGAGATTTGTGGGTTAGGGCCCCTCTTAAGTCTTCTCACTATAGTATACATAAAGGCAACTTCCAACCTAGCAAAAGAGAACTGTTTATAAGGTTCAAAACAAGCAAAACTCCTTTAGGTACTGTTTTGAGAACTTCACTTTTGCTGATGTCCTGAGTGACCCTACTCTTTAAGGGACTGAGAATCAATGAATGACATTCTTATTTGCAATTTCGGATGCAGTTTCATATCAGTGGTTTGTCACTTAATTGTATGACACTATATTATATCAGTTCTAGAAGCAGTCTGGAAAGGCTATGTATAACCTTAATGTTCTTCTGAAATTTCATTTACTTAAGAAAATAAATTAACAATCAAAAACGCAAGGGAAAAAGTATTATGCAAAGTTCCTGATGTTGTGGAGTAGAATTAACATATGTAACAACACTGTAGATTATACTGCAAACACTGTATTAATTTGATTTTTCTTAAACATAGACATTTGTAGGTAGGACAATAATTTGTGTTTTGTAGATGATGGAATGATACCCATAGAGGATGGCTTTGGTGATGATCTGCCAGTAGCTAGAGATGGACCTCTAGATTTTAGCACTCCGTATGTAAGGACGTATTTTCCAGAGACTTGGCTTTGGATTGATACCAAAACTAGGTATGAAATTAAAAGGAAATTGAAACTGATTTACTGTTTTTATTTTTTTGTTTTAGTATTATTCTGCATTGGTACTGAAAAACAGCTTAAAAGTGTGGTGTTATTTATATTCTGCTACCACCTAGAGGCCACAAGTGAGGTTGGAAGCCCACCAAATGAGGCATTTTACAACTCCACAAAGCAGAGTAATCCCTGACTTTCAGTTTCAAATGGAACAAAATAAAACCCTGGAGACAAAGATTTCTAGGATAGGAAACTATTTTCCTTTTATGTAAGGAGAACTGACTTGTAGGGAGACTTAGTGTTTTTCTGTTAAGTGCACGAGAAGATTGTGACCCAGAAGCTAAAATCTGTTCTCATCTGCACCTAATTCAAGAAGCATTTCAAACTGTTAAACTAATAGTGAAATCTGACCTGTGTTGTGAGGCACAAATCTTGTATTCTTTCATAGCTAAGAAGTTAGGGAAACAGACTTCATTGAAGATTATTTTACAGGATCTGTGAAAGTTGATTGTGTGTAATTATCTTAAAGTTATGGAATTCAAAATAATTTAATAACTTGTTTTAATCATTTTGATCCCATCACAAATATTTCTAAATGATTAAGAAGAGGAAAACAGATAACCAAAAGTTTTTCCTGCCAAGAGTTTGAACTTTGTTTTTGATGTATTATTAACACACATCTTTACTTACTCATGTCTATAAATAGATGCTTTTGAAAGTCATCTATGTCCTTTTGCTATCAGATCTGATGCAGATACCACAATGGAAGTCACTGTACCTGATACCATCACGTCCTGGGTAGCCAGTGCTTTTGTGCTTTCTAAAAACGGCGGTCTTGGAGTGACAACTGTTCCAGCAGAGGTAGCACATTGCTTGATGTTTCTCCTTTAAATACTGATAACACTGTAGATTATTAATTGGAACCTGCATTTTTCTTCTAATAACAGCCTTCTCCTTATATCAGTGAAGAAATTTCATGCGCACTCAAACTGTTAGGAAAACATTACAGTGAAATCTTATGTGGACATGGAGGTTGGGCACCAGGATGAAGTGGTTTTGCTGCCAGGTTCCTGTCTCCATGGCTCTTTTAAGGAGAATTTAGCAATTTAAACTAAATTCAGCACTTGTCAGTTTAGACCTAAAACTTGAAATTTCCGGAATAGACATGCAGTTGTCCTTGGCTCACTCTGTATTCGTGGAAACAGCTTCTTAGAGAATGCTATTTGGACTGTTTAGAATAAGAATTACTTTTTGAAATGTCATTGTAGTTATCTCTTTTCATGCATAAAGTAAAAAAATCCTAGAGAAACTACATTCCTAATTGGGACATCTCCACTTTTAAGTGCCAAAGGTCAGAAAGATTGAAAGTCTGTAGTACTAGGTCACAGATTTCCAACTGGATGCATGCACTAATTAGAATTAAACTTGGAGACAACTCTTTACTCACTGAAATTTTCATCCCTTCAAATTTTTGTGGAGGAGTATCTTTCAGGATGTAAGCCCAGATACAGACTCAGATTTGTAGTTGGCTGATCTACCAGATACAAACCATATGCTTTGAACATCCTGGTCAAAACACCACAAAATTTGGAAACAGATCTATATTTTGTGGCTGAGAGTCCTCTGAGACTATAATCACAATTCTTGTTTCTTCCACTTAGCTTGGCAGAGAAGGGACGGAAAGAGGAATTGTTTTCTGATTCAAACTATATGAAAATACATACTTGGTCCCTCACTCTCAAATATGAGAAAGCTACAAGTAAAACAGATGTTGTGCTTCTTCCTTAACTATAATCACCAACATACACTGCTCAGTGCTTCACCCTCATTGGGATGTTTAGATTGCGCTTGGAGTTACATATGGCTGAAACATGTTAATCAGTACCATACAAAGAGACAAATAAAAGAAATGCAAAAAAACTGTGATGGAGAAATAAATAAGTGATATCTGTATGTTTAGTGTCATTTACTGCTTTGCATCTTGTTTTTACATGTCTTTTAGTACACAAAGTATTGATAATTTCACCTGGTGTTTTATTTTAAGATACTGAAATATTTCTGATTGTTAAAATTTAGTATTGCAAGATGTTAAGAGGAAAAAAAAATTAAAAGAAATAGGCATCTAGTGAGAACATTGAGTAAGAACTAACAAAAAATTATTCATTAAAACTTTTCTAATGATAAAAGACTTTTTTTTTATCACTGGAAGCTTTAGCAAACAAAATATTTTTTGGATATTTGTTGGCTAGAAAGAAATCTGAGTATTTTCTGGATCTGAAACTCAAAATACTTAGAAGAATTTTCTAATGAAAACTGAATTAAAGCCATTTTTAGTTGACATTTCTCTAATAATAGATATCATGCTTCAGTCATTCTTAATGTGCAGATGTTCATAAATGGTGAAATCCCATGGAGCTTGATGTGAGTTTACCACTGCCTTCCTAGAGCCAAGAGTTGGTCCAAAGTCTCTGTTAACAGATAAAATAATCAGTTTCTGACAGATTCCTGCAAGTTGTTTCTGTTTTAATTAAGAAAAGATGTACTATTAGAAGTATAACCAAAGACTTAGGCCAAGATTAACCACACAAAGTAACATATCATACTTATGTGCTGGTGAATTACAGAATTAGGGAAAGTTAGTTATTTTGGATTCCAACACACGTCTGTACTGACATGGGTATATGTCAGTGGGCAGGTTCAGAATCCTCCTTTACTTGTGTGTCCAAAATAGTTCGTAGTAGCTTTAATGGTATCTTTGGACAGACTGCAGCTTTCCAATTTGCAGGATGATAGTTTCTTGATCTCAGTTCATCTTCTCCTGTCAGAATTTGCCATGTCGAAGCTGCCAGGAGTCCAGCAGCTTTCATCTTAGTGGCATTATAGAGTTCCAACAAAGGTGCTTGTATGCAGAAGGGATTCTTGGCTTCTGATTCAGCCCTGTAGTAATACTTTTTGTTAGTTGTAGAGTAATGTAGTTGAGTGTAATTGAGTTGAGTGTCCTAGAGTGTGATTGTGAGTAATGATACTCTCATAAGAATTTAAAAGTGAGAGTCTAGTCAGAAGACATGCTGTGTAGTTGTTTTCTCACTAGTATCTGATTGTAGGGATTCACTGTTTTGTGCTGACCTTGTTTTGCAGCTAGAAGCTTTTCAACCTTTCTTTGTTTTTCTGAACCTTCCATACTCTGTCATCAGAGGAGAGCAGTTCGTTTTGGAAGTGAATATCTTTAATTATTTGAAAGAAGAAGCCGAGGTAAAGTAACAGTCTCTCTGTTCTCTGTACTTGAATTTTAGCATACACTGAAGGGAGTGCATTACTGATGAAAATCATAACTTTCTCTTGTGAGATCTTCAGTGAGTGTATTGTAAGGCTATATCTCTATATAAAGCTTAAAAAGGCAGCTTAAATTTTCTTCAAAATTTATACGTTATTGCAAATGTTACTGTATTTTACAGGTTAATGTGATCCTGGATATGAATGATGCTTTTGAAATTATTCTAACATCCAATGAAATAAATGCTACAGGAAATCAACAGTCTATATTTGTACCAAGTGAAGATGGAAAAACTGTTCAATTTCCAATCAAACCAAAACAGCTGGGAGAGATTCCCATCAAAGTGACAGCAATATCGTCTGCTGCTTCTGATGCTATCATCCAAAAAGTTTTAGTAAAGGTAAACAGTCTGCAGCTTGGCTTGCTCTACAAATAAATTGCTTTGTAAAATAGACAATGGACTGTTACAAAGAGGCAAACCAGTATACTTGTCTGCTTCTCATTTTCTCAGATTGGTTTCTGGTCAGATGGCTTGAAGTTGAAATCACTTTTAAAATAAATTCTTTAGATCTCCTTCCAGAATTGAAAATATAGATCTGTTCTATAGCTGATCGTGTGTCAAATGCTTCTGAAAGCAAGGCAAAACCTATTTTCACATCAATGAATTAATGGTGCTACAGTTAGCTTAACAATCTAGGATGGTAAAGTGGACCATGTAACTCTATTATGGATAAGTGCAATGAATTTCTTAGTGCACCTAGCTTAGTTCAAAGCCTACTTTTATGAACATTTCTCTACTGTGTTAGTGATGAAAGTTTAGCCCCCAGACTTTCTTGATGAACTAGCGTCTTTTGGATGAGATTTGCCTAACTTTTGGCATCTAACAGTTTGAATCATGTTGAGCTCCATTTCAGTGAAAGGTGATAAGCACTTTTACATCTCATCCTAAAATATCTACTTAAGATCCTAGAATCAGGAAATAGTTGAATTTAGAAGGGACTTCTGGATATTGTGTAGTCCAATTTTCCTGGTCAGAGGAGGATCAATTGAGCAACCAATTGAGCAATGAGCAGAGGCTCAGGACTCTGCCCAGTTAGGTTTGGAATGTATCCAAGGATGGAGACTTCTCAGCCTGTCTAGGCAATTTGCCCTCACCTGGACCCAGAAGGATCATCTCCTTCCACCTGCTGGCCGGGCTTTACATGATGTATCATGATACAGGATAAAGTTGAATGCCCTTGCTGCAAAGTCCCTTTTCTGGCTTATGCTCAAGTTGGTGTCCAGCAGCTCTCTCCGGTTCTTTTCTGAAAGGCTGCTTTCCAGCTGGGCAGACCTTAGCATGTTGAAGTGCATGGGGTTGTTCCTCCGCAGGTACAGGACTTGTCATTTCCTTGTGCTGATCTTCATAGAATGATAGAACCTGCTCCAGTGCTTCACTACCCCGAGTGAAGAATTTCTTCCTAATATCTAACTTAAATTTCACCTCTTTTAGTTTAAAGCCATTCTTCCTTTTCCTATCACTATTGGACCATGTAAAAAATGGGTCCCTAGCCTGCTGGTAAGCTCCCTTCATCTATGCCTTTGTTTTCAGATTTCATAGATTTTTCTTTCTGCTAATTTCTTATCTATTGTTTAGGATTGATAGCACATGTCTCGAGGATGACAGGTTAACTGAAGTATGCTCTAAAGGTGCTGATTTACCTCTCTTATGAGACAGGATCACAAATTTGCACTACTTCAGAGTACAATAAACATATGAAATAAGTGATGTGAATTCCAGCACAGCTGTTTGTAGAACCTGAATGTTGAAAGCTGAGGTTCTTCTAGATTTTATTTGCATCTGCATTTTTGTATCCATACTTACCCACAACTGACTCAGCCTTGTCCACCGTGAGGAGCAAGCTCTGGCCAGCTGGATTCTGCTGATTCCCTTTTCATTTTAAGGGCCCATTTTTGGAACCATCAGAAAGCTTTTCTTTTATAGCACAGCCCTTTTGTTGGACATCTCAAAATAACTGTCCTGCAAGTTAATTCTGGAAGGAGCCACTTATTGCCCTTCCAATTGAAGCTCAGTTGTGCTGAAGAGAATAAAATCCTGTTGGACTAAATCTAGGCTGAGAAAAGAAATCCATTCGTTTTCTCTACTTTGAAGACATTTTTTCTCTCCAAGAGACTTGCATGCATGAATGAATGGAACCTTTGAACCTACAGTGATTAACTTAACTGGTGTAAGTCTTCTTTGTATGACAGGCTGTAGGATAGCATGAAAGAGAGCACTTCTGGCCTTGGCATATTCTTGATCATGGAGCACTGTGCTTGTCAGTGAGCTCACTAGAATCAAAGATGCTTTCAATGACTTTGTGTGTATTTTTATAATTAACGCATGGTTGCTAGAAGAAATTTGTGGAAGCAGGTCTTTATTATAAAAACATGTATGTGTCAGTTCAGATGGGCCAGTTTTTCAGGCTCTTGATGTGTTAAGAAGCAGCACAAAGTATCTCACAGAGTTTTAGATGCATCAGCACAGTAAGCATGTAGTTCCAGTTCTAAAAGCAACAATCTATTGGAAATTATAACAATCCTGTTTATTTTGGTAGGCTGAAGGATTGGAACAAACATATTCTCAGACACTCCTTTTGGATTTAACTGGGGGTAAACAACAAGCAGTGAGAAAAACTTTGGATTTCACTTTTCCTTCTGATGTTGTAAGTGGTAGTGAAAGAGTGCAGGTCACTGCTATAGGTAAGAATTATTTTGTTCTGATTCCATCTCTATTACTGGTCAGTTGTTTTTTGTTGTTTTAAGTATAGTTTGCTGTCTGCTGGACTTTTTCTGAACACAGTATTTAAGATGTAGCATGAAGATACAGTATGCCACTGCCACTGCTTTTGGAAGTTGAGAGTACCTGTATTCCACATGGATGTGAAAGGATTGGTCTCCATTAGCAATTTGACATCTGTGACATCCTGTTGCAAGTGGTCACCACATTTAACATAATTCAGTTGCTGGTTTCTTCTGTACTACATAGATGCGAATAGTAAGTGGAAGCAGTAGACTGTCAAGTAGAGCAGGGATGTTGGTATAATATCCTGAACTATCATAACAGGGTTTGCCAGAACTTCTGTACTGAAAGGCCTTTCTAAGATCTTGCCCTGTATAGCTGTTGCTTCATAGATTTTTAGGAAACTGTTAATTTAATTTAATCCCTATGTTAATGGCATGAATCATTAGTTAATAATAATTTCTCATCCATTGAACTGATCATAAGATGACTGTGTATAGATGGTGTACATTATTTCTTTATTTTATTTACAATATTGTGGTATTAAGTATCCTTTTTCAGAGTTAAAGAGACTGTCAGGACTTTACAGGAAAGTCCTGCAAAGTTTGTTAATATTCTGTTTAAATTCTGCGTGCTTGGAGAATAAAGCCTAAAACTTGACTCATAGTTGGTCCTAGATTTTGATAACTGCGTGTGAGAGGAGAAATACAGGAAATTTGAAATATGAACAGTTGCTGAAACATTCTCCTGGAAGGAATATCTTTTGGCTTTTTCATATGGTGTCTCTTTTAATTATTGTGTAGTTGGGAAGGTCAGTAAAGTTCTATGAGGAGATTAATCAGTGAGCAAAAAGCTAATAATAAGACTGTGTGTGGTTAATGCAGTTTTCTGCCTGGCTACTGGTGTTGAGCACAAGTATTCCCAATGTATTAAATTTTTTCATAGTTTAGCTGATACCATCCTTCATGTGTTAGACATGTGTTTATTTGTATTAAGTTTCAATTTTATCTTCCAGGTGATTTACTTGGACCTTCAATCAATGGTTTGTCATCATTGATTAAGATGCCTTATGGCTGTGGTGAACAGAATATGATCAATTTTGCTCCAAATGTTTATATTTTGCAATACCTTACTAAAACGAGACAGCTGAGAGAGGATATTCAATCAAAAGCATTATCATTTATGAGAAAAGGTCTGTATGCTTAAAGGACATTTTATGTTTTCAAGAACTCTTCCTAGCTAGAGTACCTTTGACTTTGTACTTAGCATTTGAGAGACTACTTTGCTGGTGTCATGCAACCTGGAAATAAACTCATTTTTCTCTTTCTTCTGGGATAGCAGAATTGAGGAGCAGACAATTCTGTTTACGAGGAAAATTTTCTCCAAAATATAACTGTTTCTATGTAGCTATTTTTCAGAGGTAAACTGCATTTTAGAAGATGATTTTTGTGCTTTTTTGTTGTTGTTATTGGTACTTGCTAGCTCTTTTTTGCTTAAACTGTGTATGAACAAACATTGCTGTATGTGAGATACAGTGGGTCAAAATTAGCAATGCTCATTAGGCAAAATTAGACACATTCTCATCCTGCCATGTCCTTGCAGAACTCTAGGAATTATGTTCTTGTGATTGATGTTTGCCCACCCAAGTTTTAGACTTGATCAGAAATGAACTCTGTGCTGGACATCGGAAAGTGGAATATTTTAAAGGAAAATGGTTGTATATTTTGATTTGAAAATACTCCAGAGCATCACGAAGTGTGGAGAACGTAGTTGTATTGTGCTTCCTTGTGCCTACTGGGTCAGACAGTATCCATGATGTATTACTTATCCTTAGTTTGAGCTGTAACTTTCATAAAATCAGTTTTCAAGAGGATTATAATGAAGGTGAATTTAAACCTAATTTATTTCACATGTCAAAATACACTAAATATCTGAAACAGTGACCACATAATCTGAAGTAAATATAATTAATTTTAAAACTAAATGTTAGTGGGAGGAAGGAACCATGGCTATCAGTGGCTTCTTTCCTTTTATCAGATTTTGTTTACCTAGAACAAAGGCAAAGCAAAAGAAAAGTTGAATTTAAAATAAATTCCTTCAGTTCTCGAAATGACAGATCTCATCTTGAAATCACTTCTTCAGAAATAAGAAGTCCTTTTTGTCCTGAAAGCTTAGGAGCTAGACCCAGGCAAGCACTGAGCTGGAGCTGTATTTTCAAGCTGCTCGAAACATGAGACCTTCAAGTCTTTCACATATTACTGAACTCCTTTCCATCCTGATGTACTCTTCTTTTAGCTTGGCTTAGCTAACCTACATCTTCTGGGTTTCAGCCAGTCCTCTGGAAGTACTAGCATACATCTTTGTAATAGGATCCTTCTTTTCCTTGCCTTTCCAGTTGTATGTGTTGACATTTAAAGTATTGTTTTTCACATTTGATTGAGTGTCCGTTGGAATGAATGCAGTGGTTCACAGCCCTCAGATCTATTGTTTTTACATTTCTACAGGCTTTTTTGTGTTAGATATGCTCATGTTTGAAGATTTTTTTTGCGTGACTGCATGGAGCTTGACCTTAAGAGGAAAGCAAAAAGACTATGGGAAATAGAGGAACCTCCATCTGGTTCTGCTCGTCTTTCCAATCTTTCCCAATCCTAGTAAATTCAGAGATGATTTTTTTTTTCTTGTGTTATGCCTGCTCAGCAATCTTTGTTAAGTAAGCTGTTGGTCTTAGTTCATCATTTTACACTGCCATTGGGGTAGTGGGCTGTAATCCTTATTACTGCATATTGCCTGTTCGGTGAAGAAGCAGAAGACCTCAACTTTGGGCCTTGCAGTCAGGTGTTTTTGAAGAGAAAGTGATCTGTTTGTATATGTACATATAATTATGCCCCTCATGGCATATTGTTCTGAGGCTAAAACTTTGGCAGAAAGTTTTACCACTTAATTGCTTTCTTTCTCTCACTCAAGATTGCTTGACTTTTCAAGATTATTAACTGAGTTGACAGATCCATCAGTATGGGAAGGCATCACAAATTTTAATTATTTAGTTCACCACTGTTGTTCTACTAAATACATTTAGAAAACCTGTTTAAGTGGAAGTTGTAATTTCAAACAGTTTTAAGGAGACAATAAAGAAACTTGATACTACTATACTGGTAAAACGTAGCAGTTCAGATTCATAGAATTATAGAATCAAGAAGTTTGAAAAAGACTTCCAGGATCAAGCACTCCAACCATTACCCTGTCACCAATATTTCCCACTAAACCATGTTGCTCAGTACAACATCTAAATGTTTCTTGAACAGCTGCAGGGACGGTTACTCCACAACCTCCTTGGGCAGCCTATTCCAGCACCTAACTACTCTTTTGGAGAAAGATTTTTTTCTTAATGTCCAACCTGAATCTTCTCTGGCACAATGTAAGGGCATTCCCTCTTGTCCTATTATTAGTTACATGGGAGAAGAGGCCAACCCATACCTTGCCACAACCTCCCTTCAGGTAGTTGTAGAGAGTGATAAAGTCTCCCCTGTGTATGTCCAGACTGAGCAATCTCAATTTCCTCAACTGCTCCTCACAAGGCTTGTGCTCCAGATCCCTCACCAGCTTCATTGCCCTTCTGTGAACACGCTCCAGGGCCTCAGTGTCTAGGATGAGTCTTATGGGTACTATTTATTAAGATACCTAGTATTTGCTTGTCGGTTCCTTCTGTATAACTTAATGATGTAAATAAATAAAATCTTGCTTAGGCTTTTCCTTCTGTCTGACTGGGTCAGTATTCTGTGTTGTATGAATATCAGATGTTAAACTAATGAATATTTTTTCTTAATTATAATAACCAAAATAAAACAACCAAGAAATAAACAAGGAGGGAAGAGAAGAAAACACATATTGAGAAATGCTATTATTAAATACTATTGTTGTTCTGAATGCACAAATAGTAAGCAAAATGTACAGGAAGGAAGGTTTTACAGATCAGAAGCTACACTGAGTAGAATATTTGTGGAGCTCTTTATTAATAATATTAACGAACATTGGATCTGCACTAAAGTCAGCTCCTGAAAAAGGACATTGTGCCTGGTCATGAGCAGGTAGTCGGCTTTTGTGACCCTTTTACTTATAGGTGTTCAGCAATCAAGATAAAATACACTTCTGGATATTGAGAAATCTTTGGTGCTGCTTAACCAGGTCCCCCTTGTGAAGTTCTTTTAGTTACTGATGAAACATTTTGTTCATTTTCAGAACAGCCTCTTCCAGTATGCTTTCTGCTAGCTAGTCCTTTGGTTTGCCCAAAGTAAGTTGATGAAAGTATCTGCTTTTCAGCAGCATTTGTAACTTGTAGCTGCTCTCATGCCTTTCCGGTTGGAAAATTCTTATTTTCTGCTTGTTCTTTTGTCTACTGGAAAGATAAAATGTTTCTTTAGTTATGTGACTTCACTATTTCAGCTCTTGGAGGAGTTGAGCTATAGATGCAGTCTGCACTTGTTGCTGTGCTTCTGGAGCCACTGAGTTACGAGGCTGTACCTCTACCCTGCTGTCCCGTCTGGGTGGTGGATAAGTGGGAATCATAGAACATCCTGTTTTGGAAGAGACATAGAAGGGTCAATGAGTTCAGTGGGAATGGGAGCCCTCTAGGTCTATTTTTGTAGATAGATTTTGTTACCTGCTTTCTTATGGTTTTCTACATGGTTTTGTGTATTTTTATAGATTTGAGGGATATTTTATTCAGGTTCTACTCTTCACATCCTTAGAAAGTGCCTTGCTTCATGTCAGTAGGAAGTTTTTTTTTTGTGGGAAGAACCCGCAAAAGAGGAATGTGTTCAATACCTCTCTGCTCTTTCACTCCAGGATATCAAAGAGAGCTGCTTTTCCAGAGGGATGATGGCTCTTTTAGTGCCTTTGGAAATGAAGATCCCTCTGGGAGCACGTGGTAAGTAGTTCTGCCAGCTTCACTTTGGAATTTGACTGTTTTAGATACTTCCAAAGACTAGATTTTTTTGTGAAGCTGCTAAAATTTTCCAGCTGTATTAGCCTTCTGCCTGGTTTTCATTAGGCGTTTAGGCCAACTCTAAGGTCGTTCTTCTGGATAGCTTGCTGTCAAGGCCAATATTAGGGCAGGTCTTTTTAATTTTACGAAAGATGAACAATGAATTATTTTACCCATGGGAATAGCTGAATGAAATGCCTTGAGATGTTCTGCTAGAGAGGATAGCTTACCAGCATGGAGAAAACTTAAAACTCCTTTGGAAAAAAGAAAAGCTAGTTAAGACTATTCAGTTTGGTTTCTTGTCATAACAACAAAGGTGAAACATTATTAACTGTATAAAGGCAGAATGTCAAGTAAGCGTTTGTTTAAATCACTATTGCAATCTCTGCAAACCGGAACTCTTGAGCAGTGGAAACACGTTCCAGTTTTACTCTTGGGTGCATCGTATTTATGCATACATTGAGAAAGTGCCCTGGTATATTTCTGGCCCTGGAAGTATAAACCACGCTGCAGCTTAAATATCAGCGTAGTCTTTGGTAGCCTTCTGACCCTGACACTCTCTTGAGTCCTTTCAGGTTATCCCCGCATGTTGTTTGGGAAAAACCCTGATTTAGAAAGTAGTTCACTGGTGTAGGTACTAGCTGATTGGTGGTAGATGTCTTCAGACCAGGTTGGATGGGGCCCTGGGTAGCTGGATCTAGTATTGAATGCTGAGGTTGGTGGCCCTGCGTGTAGCAGAGGGCTTAATGATCCTTGAGGTCCCTTCCAACCCAAGCCGTTCTATGATTCTATGAAGCAAATTCTAGGCACATTTGACCTACCGATATGGAGGTGTTGAATATGTCCAGCTGCTCTAAGGTTTTTGAGTAATAGAACAGCCTGTTTTCTGCCTGCTTAAAAACCAGTATTTAAGTGCCATAGATGCATTTTTAGTTCTCTCGTAATTTATCAGGAATTGAGACCACTTAAAGCATTATATATTAAATGCGACTCCACAGAGAGCAGGCAGCTTTGTCTGAAAGTTACTCAAAGGAAGAATAACATTAATTACGTTGCTTATAATTCTGGTTGAAACAATTTAGGCTTAGTGTTCACTTAGTAGTGCTTAGTGTTGCCTCAAATAGATTTTCACTCTTCTCCAGTCTGGATACTGAGGACTCTATGAGGAATTCTCTGTGAGGTGAATTAGAGCTACTGATGGTAATAAATCAATCAATCAATAAATAATAATAAAAAAATTGTCCCACTTGTCTTCTACACCTTGTTTTTGAGACTGTAAATTCAGTGTAGAATTCCACCTTAAGAAACATAGTAAACATAATTGTGGAAGCTAGAAAGATAAGCAGATACAAGTTCCAGCACTTTGTTTAGCTAATCTACATTTGATTAGTTTATATGTGTGTTTGTGCTTCAGCGTGTTACCAGCTTCAAATAAAACTGTTCCAATTACTCTTTCACTTACTTGCTCCATTCACCAGTTTCAGTGGGATTTGTATTAAATGCAGTATTGATGGAGTGGAAAATGAAGATCATTTATCAGCAACCCTGCTAAATATATAATGCAGTAGCAGGTTACATAAATGCACATTTAGCAAAGAAAGGAGTCAAAGTAGAACTTCAGATTATTAATGAATAAAACAAGTGCTGTTTTGATGATGTTGTTAGAGGGATAATTGTGATAACTACTATCACACTTACAGTTTGCAGTAATGCAGTTATGATTTTGCCACTTTAGCTTAGCAACAGAAGCCAAGAGAGCAATATTTGAATAAAGTTAAACAAATACTGGCAGAGACTTGGATAAATAAAGACAAACAAAGACTTGGAGCATATATAGTCTGTACTTATTTTTGAAATGTAACAGCTGCAAAAGGAATTATCTTTAGGAACAAGGAAATAGCTTCATTTTTTTGTGGATTAAGCTTAGTCTCCTTTCTTGTCTGGATAAAGTACATATTTTCCTCTGTGCTTGGAAGCTGTGTGTTGAGTATTTTATGCATCATCATATTCTTACATTATGTTTAACAGAAGCTAATTTTGTCATATTTCATTAATGTTTTCCTCCAGGTTATCAGCTTTTGTGTTAAGATGCTTTTTTCAAGCTCGTCCATTTATAGATATAGATAAAGATGTACTCATGGATACAGCTAAATGGATTGTTGGACATCAGAAATCAAATGGAGAATTTCAGGAACCTGGCAAAGTTTTACACAGTGACCTTCAAGGAGGCACCAATAATCCAATCACCCTCACAGCATATATCATGTCTTCTCTCCTTGGGTTCCAAGATAAAGAGGTATTGGAGTTCATAAATAGAATCTACAGACTCTGGAATGCTTCATAAATTCTCATACTACCTGGCAAACACCTGGTAATTTAAAGAAATAGAAGAACATCCTGAATAGAGACAAAATGTAACCTTATTTGGTAAAATTTCCTTGTATTTCGGTTTACTAATTAAGACAGTATGTGTTGTGAGGCCATCCATTTTTGCATACCTTTAAAAAATCTAAAGGCAATTGCATTTAGCAAGAATATTTTCATGCCTTCAGTACAGGAACATAAAAAGGAATTTATGGGGATAACTATCCATAGAAGCATTCAGTCATTCAATCAATTGTCTTGAGATTACTAGCTTTCATAAAAGACAGTGCAAGGTTAAAAGCTTTGCCTCTGAGGTTTGTGCCTGTTATTCTGAGATTTTCAGTACTTGTTGGTTGTTGTTTAAAGATAGCAGTTTCTACATCTTTACAAGCTTCTCTTTTACATTATAATAATATATATTCAGTGTATGATCTTCATTTTCAGCATGCTTATGTCATTAAGAGAGCTACAAACTTTCTGGAAGATAAATTAAAAGAAGGCATTTCGGATAATTATACATTAGCAGTTGTGACGTACGCTTTGTCGTGGGCGAAAAGTACAAAAGCAAAGGAAGCCTTGAGTATGCTGAATGAGAGAGCAGAACAACAAGGTATTGCACAACAGTCTTCTATGGTTGTACAAATGGATTTTTTTCAATTTTACACACATATATATATATACACACACACGCATATATGCATATAGAATTAGAGAAAAAGATAATCCTTCAAAATTAAAATATATTCACAGCTTGCTAGATAAAATAGCTTAGGAACTTCAAATAAAGCTTTAATTCATAGCAAAGCTAAGACTTTCTGTTTTAATTTCTGTGTTCTTGAGAAAACCACGATGCTGTCAAAGAGCATGACTTGTCAGTTCTCTCATGTTGTGTGAACTTGTAAGGTTTGTCTAATTAGACAATTGAAGTTAATTATTTCAGAGTGGTTCTGATTGATCAGTACGATTCCAGGAGCAGGGTTGGAGGATGGTTAGCTGAAATAAGTATTGGAATGAAGAGATGAATGACATCCTGTGAGCTGATAAAAAAGTGTATTGCATTTTCTGTAGTGACCAATAAGCTCGTCATATTTATCCTCTTCCATGTTCAATATGACTAAATTTTGTTTGCTATTTTGGATGAAGAGCAGACTATATCATAGTAATCGAAGAGATCAAAGTTTTCTGGTTGTTTTTTGTTGTTGAAAATAATAACTATCCTCTTGAAAAACCTGAAGGATTTCATTAGACTGGAAACAGAGCCTCTTGAGTGTCCTCCTTTCGTGTTTTCTGAGTTAAGCTTTTCAAAAGGGAGAATTTGCACTTTCTTCAAGAACGAACCTGTTGGGCAGCTGTAATGCCTGAAGTTCTTTCTCTAGTGAGCATCCCAGCAATGAGATGGCTTTTCTACAAGGGCTCATTGACCTAAGCATTTCATATTGACAATAGAAGGGTCATATGAAGTTATGTATAAAGTCAGTTGAATTTGATTGGAGTTGACTATCTGGACTCCAGCTTTATTTATAACTACATTCAAAAAGTGTTGAGGACGTACCTAAGATATTTACTGGGGACACACCTAAACATTCACTTAATTTTAAAGAACATTGCTAGATCCCTTACACAAGCATAAATTAAGTCTTAAATAAGACTTTTCTAGAAGTCCAAAGACTTCAGTCTGTGGATCTGAGATTATTTTGGTTTATTTTTCAGGAGAATTTCGTTTCTGGACAACACCTGCTTCTGAAATTTCTGATTCCTGGCAGCCACGGTCCATTGATATTGAACTTGCAGCATATGCTCTGCTCTCACACTTTCATCAGGACAGGCTGGAGGAAGGGATACCTATTATGAAATGGCTAAGTCAGCAAAGAAATCATCTTGGAGGATTTTCATCTACACAGGTAATATCAAAAGAGACTTTGTTGTACTTTCAGAAAGAGAAATATCTTCTAAAAAAGGCCCAAACATTTGTTTTTAAATAGTGATTGCTGAGTTTTATTTTGCTGTATCAGCCTTGGTTGGGTGCATGTTTGCATTCTTTGCAGGATTGGCATCTTAAACATAGACAACCAATGTAATTAATGTTTAATAAAAAACAAAAGTAGGGAGTCCCTTAATTATTTAAAACACAAAAACCGAATGATGCTAAGAAGATGCCCATGGGAAAGTACTTAATCAGATTTTCCAAGCAAGTATGATAAATATCTGTGCTTATGTGGCTTCCAAGGAGAGAAACTTCTTTCTATTCTTTCCATATGTGGGCTCCCAAATTCCTGAAAGGCTGTTAGCTAAGATAAGAAAGGGTTTTGGAGGAACAACCTATCTTAGTGCCTCTGTTGGCAACAGAATTTTGATGGACCGTGAAATTTGGAAGATTTCATTATCTCCAGGAGGTTTCCATGTTATTGAAGCCACATCTTGTAAGCTGTGCTAGCATCCAGAAAACTTAAATATTACTCTGGATTGTGTTACTTTAAGTTTTCTTTTAAATTAAGTACAAATGCTGGTCACAATAAAATGTCTCATATCTCTGTACTGCTCAGTACCATTCTATGCAGACTATTCTTCCTTATTTTTGTATGTTGCTATTAATATATGAGAAAATAGTTCCGTTAAGTAAAATGTAATTCTTGGGAACCAGCCTGGTTCTAGTACTTTCCTAACATGTTAACTGATGCTTGTTATTGTTATTTGAAGAGACTAACTGAAATACTAAATTGTTGAAACAGCTTTTCTCCTTGCTCTTAGAGACAATTTTCACTTGAAAGTTTGAAATTGAAGTAGTGTATAATTTAATGCTGAGGGAGAAATTAAAAGATGAGTTTAATCCTTTTGTTTTTCTGTAATCTGAAGTATTTTCATTTCAAAGTTACCCCACATATCTCTGTGGATGCCTTTTATTAATTTATGGAAATTATCTCCCACTTTTTTTTAGTATCTAGGATCATTTTAAAACAAACACTTGGAGAGTTTTCTTGCATAAGCTTATCACATTAGACACTTAATATAAGGGCTGCTCCAAAAGTAATGTCTCCTATTTTATTATGTTGGTCCATGACGTCAGAGGTAGATGTTGATGGTACGGCAGAAAAGGCTTTAAGGCCCTTTTATATAGATTAGATATGTAAGTCTGATAGGTTGCTGTAATTTCATTCACTGCAATATGAAAATGTTTTGTAAGTTTGAACTTGGAAGACATATATTTTCAGCAGGAATCAACATATGAGTGTTCTGAGTAAAGACAGACTTGCTCAGATGTTCTGTCATTGTCTGCTGTAAAAGAGTAATCATTTGTAAGTATGAGATCAAGACATTCTTTTCGGCCAAATATTTGCCTCTACTGCAAAAGTCTTTCATTTCAAACTATTAGTTCTTATAGCCCATTAGTTGTATCTCTTCTGTCATACTGTGTTAAACACTGGAGTTAGGATTATAGCCATAGAGCTTCAATGTGCAAGCAACTGCTGATAATCATCTGATGTTTCTGGATTTTAAGAAATCAGAGAGGTAAATCATCTTGGGCAAGGACGTAGTATGGGAAGAAGAGATGATTCTAATAATTAAGGAGTGATTACAGACCTATAACTTTATTTCAGTCAACAAGGAATCCTGAAAAATTGCTTTGAAGTGCTAGATATTTAGTTCTTAGTCACTATAAAAATCTACAGAGTAGCAGAATCATTATTTTCTTCATCAGTTTTCTCCTTGCTGTCTGCATTGTTTGTCATTTTGACTGTTGTAAACACCAGCGTGTCAAGTCTTCCACATAGCTTGCACTAAACATCTTTCACCTGACTTTCCATTGTGTGTCGTGGTTTCTAACATGGTTTCCCTGGTTTTGTGTCTCTTCTGCTCTGGGATCCTTCACATCAGTGGGATCCCAATGGACTTGTGGATGCAGGTGTATGAAGACCATAGTGTAATCAACAAAAGGGGCAGTACAGAGCCTGTAAGCTCTCACAGGTGTTATCTATACACAAGTACTTCATTATGCAGAGTTCTTCTGTTTAACACAGAAACATTTATTTCTTTCAACAGGACACTGTAGTGGCTCTGCAAGCCTTGAGTCTATTTGCAGCTCTTACCAGTGCACACAAAACAGAAATGGATGTAACAGTTACTGCAACATCTTTGGAAACCCCAGAAATATTTTCAATTGACACTCAAAACCGTTTTCTGCTTCAAACCAAGGAGGTACTGTAGAAAGTGAGAAATACTTCTGTAAAGCCTGGTTCCTGAAAGTGATCTGAAAATACTGTTTTGGCTATCTGTCCTTCCAGATTCCCCCGGTGCAACCGATCACAGTTACAGTTTCAGCAGAGGGAAGAGGATTTGCTGTCTTTCAGGTATGAAATGTGGTTATTTTTTTTTAAGGATATGCTCTCTAAAAAGAAGGTGTATTGGAAGCTTTATAAAACATGTCAATAAGAACAACTTTCTGAAATATTTTAAACCAATGCCGAGGTACTTTACTGCTTGAAAAATGCTGTGAACCTAAGTTGTGTGGGCACTCGTATTTATGTGATTGTGTATGTTGGAGGGTCAGTCCCTTTAAATAATTTTGGAGGACTGACAGTTTTGGTGCACTTAATGGATCAGAGTCGTATCAAAGTGACCCCATCCTTCTGCAGAATTGCAGAGTCGGTTTGCAAGACAAAGAACTGCAATGGTACACTGACAGTCCCAAAGGTCACAGTTAAAAAAGTATATGGACCAGGCATAGATAGCTCATCAGGCATCTATGATAAACTATGGAAGGCACAGATCTGTAGACAGCATGAGTACATTAGTAGCTATTAGAGCACTGGTGTTTTCTTTTTTTGAAGTGTAATATAATAATAGCAGAAAAGCTAATGCAAAGAAAAATAAAAGAAAACATTTAAAAAAGTATTATGGCCAGGTTTTCCAGCAATTTTTATGCTGTTCTAAAATAGCATAGAAGACAGAATCAAACAGTCTTGCATACTTCCAACGTTATTTGCTTAGTATCAACCAGACTGAGGACGTGACAAAGAGTGGAAGGAAAATCTAATGATCCTCTTTCTGCCAATTCTGCAGGAAGCTGTTTCAGTGGTTTAAATTCAAATATGTTTATATTTTAAAAAATAAGCTGGGGTCAGCACATATTGTACTTTAAATTAATGAAATGTAAGCAGTCTTTTTATGCATTTCAGGTCCTTGCTCTTTCTACATATTAAAAATTAAATTCCAATGAAATTATGCCTTCAAAAATTTCCCTATCCTAATAAGAAGTGTATGAGAAGAAGACAGTATTGGATCTGACTTTATATGACCACTACTGGATCTCCTTTTCCCACTGTCTGACCTGTGGTGGTCCACATGGGCGAAAGAGAAGACCTTTGATAAACTATGAATAATACAGAAATATTAGTCTCTGTTAAGCAGGAATACTTATATACTATAAAAGTATATAGATTAACTCACAGTTGTGGAGTCTATCACAAAACTGGGTAGAGTTCTTACTGGACTCTTGATATTCATACTTGGGAAAACCAAATGTAGGCCACCTTTAAGAGTCTCAAAGTTTCGGTCAGTTTCCATCTCTAGTTCATTCCAATCCACCAAAAGCATGCTGACAATATTTAACATATTGTTAAATACGCTTTTGGATAAAATACCTTCATAAAGAAACCTTAATGACTGCCTATCAGTGATGAACAGCATCTCCTGGTGCAAATACTGCTCATCCAGCACCATTCTGCAAAGCCCACTGTGCTAGAAATCAGTACTCATGTTCATTAATCCCCAGAAGTGCAAATGATGATCAGGATAACTCGTAGTTAACCCTGTGCTTAGAAGGCTCCTTAGGGAAGTATTGTACCATGGTTTAAGCTTCTGACTTCTTGTATGAGCAAACATGGTTCCAGATGCCTGGTATTCAGGAACCAGCATCAGGTTACCTACTTCATCGAGGCCACTGTGCTGTTGCCTTTTTTTCCTTGGAGCTTTGAGTCTGAAATTCAAAATATACTTAACATGCTGGAGTTGTTTCTCCAATAACTTTTCTTAGTTAGGACCAGTTCTTTCTTTCTGCTTCCTTTGGCAGGTCTGGTATTCCAGAACAAAGTGCATTAATGCCATTTGAATTAGATTTCTCTTTTTCCCAGACACAAGCTAGATCTGGGTCTCATTTAATAAATCAGATAGCATATGACATTGCGATCACATTTCTTCAGCTGGGTTTCATTGTCTCTGGTCTGCCAAACTACAGTGGTGAGATTCAATGTTATGGGATTTGATTTTCTGGCCAAATGTAGCATGTCAAAACAGTAATTCATTTAAATATCACAAAAGACAAGATTCAGTCCATTAATGGAAAAGGCTGCTTTCCCAATAAAATGGATTCTTAGGGGGAAAAAAAGTGCTTTTTGGTGAAACCTCACTGTCTGTGTGTATGGGTTGGCAGTGCCTTCACTCTTGACCCTGCAGGATCCTATAAGAATAGATCTTTCAAATATCACAGAATCACAGAATGGTCAGGGTTGGAAGGGACCTCAAGGATCATGAATCTCCAACTCCCCTGCCACATGCAGGGCCACCAACCTCCCCATTTAATACTAGACCAGGCTGCCCAGGGCCCCATCCAACCTGGTCTTCAACAACTCCAGGGACAGGGCGTCCACAACCTCTCTGGGCAGCCTGTTCCATCACCTCACCACTCTCATAGTAAAAACTTCTCCCTGACATCCAAACTAAATTTTCTCTCCGTCAACTTAAAACCATTTCTCCTTGTCCTGCAGTTATCTACCCTTTCAAAGAGTTGACTCCCCTCCTGTTTGTAGGCTCCCTTTAGGTACTGAAAGGCTGCAATAAGGTCACCCCGCAGCCTTCTTTTCTCCAGGCTGAACAAGCCCAGCTCCCTCAGCCTGTCTTTGTAGGGGAGGTGTTCCAGTCCCCTGATCATCTTTGTGGCTCTCCTCTGGACCCTCTCCAACAGCTCCCTGTCTTTCTTGTACTGGGGGCTCCACACCTGGATACAGTACTCCAGATGGGGCCTCACAAGAGCAGAGTAGAGGGGGACAATCACCTCCCTGTCCTTGCTGGCGGCCCCTCTTCTGATGGAGCCCAGGATACCATTTGCCTTCTGAGCTGCAACAGTGTAACTGCAAAAGCAGACACTTGTGATCTTGCTGTCAAAAAAGTCTCCTTTCTTTTTGTCTAAATACAGTATAGATGTCCTAAGACACCTACTCTGCAGGGGAGATGATTGTAGGGCTAGAGTATACATGAAAGTTTTCCATAGAGAAAGGAGTCGACAAAGTGATCTTCACTAAGAGGTCTGCTGAAAGTCTTGAAAGTAGTCTCTTCACTACCGTGAACCACTGTGAGCCGAGCTTGGCATGTGCCTCAAAAACATGGCGTGTCCCATGCCTTCTGGAATGACACTGAAATTCAGGACTAGCAACAATGGCAGAGCTGGCAGGCTTAAGGAAGATAGATATGGGCAAAGTGAGCAAGATCTCCTTATCTCCTGCCTGAACAGAAAACACTCTGGAGAGGACCTTACCTTTACTCTGTGGCAGGAACTATTAGGAAGCATTGTTCTCCTTTCTTCTCTTTTTTGTACTCTTTTAGAAAGAAACTGGACTTACGTGTATGGTGGCTAAGCCAGCAGTTCTCATGTGGCAGAGGAGGACATAAGTTTTATTTCTGGTAGAGGAAGGGAATAAGAAAACTGAGAATCTCCTCATTACTGAGAAGCACTGACTGTTTCTTCCATTCACTGTATTTTTACTAGTCTTAGGCAAAGGATTAAGAGTAATTGAGTGTGAGAGTACCAAAAAAGGTATGCAATGAACTATTCGGTCAAAAAGGGATAGTATAATAATTTGAGACAATTTCATTGAATTCATGCTCTCAGTAAAGTACGTTGATGCTGCTATTTGAAAAACAAAAAGGAAAGGGAAAGGACATTCATTAAGGTAATACAGACAATTCAGATTTTTTGAAGTCTAATGCTGTTCGTTGGATCACGCACTATTTACAAGCACCTCTTTCAAGCAGATTAGCTTTTAAACTTTGTTTCTTGTGCCTCTCACCAGAACTGGTTGCAAGTATGAGTGGATCAGTTCAGCCTTTAGCTTTGTCAGCCCTTTTTAAAAACGGTTAAGATGAAATGCAGTTGCTTGTTTTGTTGACTTAATGCTGGTTGCTGGATAAGAGCCTTCTATTCCCAAACTAACAGCATATAAAGAAGGAGGCTTTAATTAGGCTTTGTTGTGAAAAACATTTTCCCTTCATTGTCGTGAGAAGTCAGGAAAAGAAAGTTGAAATGTTACAGCAGTAACTTACTCCATGAAAAAGCAAGCTGATTGACCTGTTCAGTGTGTTGTTTCAGACATCCTGCTTTGGCAGTAAATTCCCGTTCATTAACTTTTCATGGCGAAAGTTAAAACAGCTTTGTTTCTGTGATGACAGATCATACTGGCGCTGCCAGCTTGTCTTACCAAATTTTCTGCATGCCATTAACTGGCAAGCTTCTAGGCTGGCTTTATCCTTAGTACTGCCTTCTTTGCAAAATGGTTGTGTCGCTAAAGAGATGGTGCTGTTGCACCTCTGTTCTGAGTTCTCGTACAGTGTTGTCTCTATGCTCCCATAGCATGATAAATTGAGAAATGCTGGGCAGGGTGACAGGAATTATATATGTGCATATTGAAAGAGCATAACTTTCATATTAAGGAGAGATGTAGCAATAAAAGCAAAAATGAGGAATTAAAACCTCATCAATTTGCACTGACTTGTTGTCCTGTAACTTGGACAACTCTCATCATACCTTTAAATTTGGACTGATGGTTTTTTTGTTGCCAGAAACTGTTCTAAAGGGACTATAATTTTCCAGAAGCCCTCTTCATTCCATTTTCTTTATCTAAGCTAAGTTCATAACAGGGTCCTGCAAGGAGAATTATTTGAGTCACTCTCATTATTTTTGTTTTTTGTACAAAAAAACACATTTCCCCATGCCCTGCCATTTGTTTTATCTTGATGACTTGGGGTATAGATGGTAATTATTAATTTGTATAGGAAAACTGTGAACAATTGTTGTTGTTGAAAATTGCAATTCTGTCAATTTTGTCAAATTAACTATTTAACTATTCTCTGTCCTTTTTTTTTTTTTTTTTTTTTTTTTTTTTTTTTTTTTTTTT